TCCAGTATAGGTTAGCTCTGAGTGTTAGCGAGGCTTGCTAATGTAAACAAAGACGAGATTACGTCCAAAACACGTCAGGCATTGTTTCTGATAGCAACTTTCTGTGGGTCCGCTGCCGATTTGACGTCAGTTCGGATGGAATCTGTATCCGCTCGTTGTACACCCGTTTTTAAAAGATTTGGGTACGGAGGAAAAGAGAGAGGGTTTTATTTTCTGATGCTGCGTGAGTTCCCCGACGCACCGGGGACACATATGTATGTATAAAAGACATCACAAAGTGCATTTTGCATGATAGGTCCCCTTTAAATAATATATCTGAATATATAGCTTGTCATACTGACTTTTAATATTCATGTCGAATTTCATTAGTCATAAAGTTATTTCATTATGCAGTACAGCATAGTATAACCCAAACATGCTACTCCCCAGGCACGTCCTCCAGCTTCTCTTCGGGGATCCTGAGGCATACCCGAGCCTCATGGGATATGTAATCCCCCGAGATGTGGGTCTGCCTGGGGCTCCGTTCCTCAGGGATGGGTCCAGGTCAGATGCTTTAAACACCTCAACTGGCTTTTTTACTCATGGGAAGGAAAGAGCTGTCTCCAAGCTCTATAGAGATATCTGAGCTCAGGCGTATGTATCTGTATGTATCTGTGTGTATCTGTGTGTATCTGTGTGTATCTGTGTGTATCTGTGTCACACCAACTTGAGAAGCTGAATGAGCAGCCTGGCGTAGCCTAGCATCATGTTAGGCTCCAGGTTCGGCAGTGTGACCAACTCATAGAGCAGCTTGATGAAGAGGATGTGGTCCTCTTTGCTGAACCTGCGGCCGTACAGCTTCAGAAACCTAAAGGGTGTAGGTAAGGAGGGAAAAGTGTCCATCAGTGAGCAGATAATGACTTCCAGCTGACCCATACTCAAAACATCGTAAGTGATCAAAATTATAATAATAAACTATTTTTAATTGATATAGCAACAATCTTTAAATCAGAAATGACTTTAATTCAAAGCAAAACGCACTGGATGAATTGAACTAAAAAACTGAACATAATTATACAGAATAACAAACAAAGTGTTATTTTAAAGTGAGAAAGTGTTTGCCGCCCTGATCTCAGACAGGTTTTTTCCAAAGTCCAGGACCTGGGACTGCAAGGGCTCTGATTTCTCTGTGCGTACAGATTCAACGGCACAATCACTCAACAACAAACCTCGACTAACCTCATTGACTTGATGCCAATTGTACAAAGTGAATTAAAAGTCCAGCCTTATAGTTACTTGGCAGATCACGATGCCCTGATGCTCTCTCAAAGAGGAACACCACCTTTAATTAAGAATTCCAATACCTTTGCATGGCCTATAGTTTAAGAAATATTTGTGAACATGACTCAAAGCCAGAAACCAGATAAGTCAGTCTAAAACTTGCTATGTCATCGAGTTTAAATTATTGTTATGAAAGGCAATGAACTGATGAACCCAAACATCGTTTTATGCCAATAGAGCTTCATTCTAGTGTATTTTTGTTAAGTTGCATAACAGAAAATGTCCCCATGAACACAGAACTTTCTCAAGGCTGCTCTCAGTTTCATAAATAACATCTCACATTGTTGGAGCATCTCCAGATTGTATGCATGATGATGACGTCACACATTTAAATGTTGGCAAGCTAATCTTTTGAATTTGTGAGAGGTTTTTTCATGTTGTCAAATACGTTTGAACTGACCACATGAATGAGATGTACGAATTTTTTTAATGGCCGTAGTTTCCATTTAAATCTTTCTGATATGCTTGGCACTTTATCCCCCCTGCAATAGACCTGAATAACTAATGATGAATATTTTTGTTTTAATGAGTATTTATTTTGTCTTTGACCACCTGGAAATTCTTGCCCACTGCTATATAAATCAAACATAATTGACACAACACAAATATTATTGCACATTTCTGAAGCTGATTCATTTCGTTGTTGATGTCAATGTTCCACAGTATTGCGACTGTGTGATATAACTTGTGATTTTGTTGGACCTCCAGAATGACCCTGGAGGCCAAATGAAAGGCGTTAAACACTATGATTATTTATGACTCCTAAGTGAGTATCCGGAGGACAGCCTGACTTAACACTTACGAGAAGAGCTTCCTGCACCACAAAGCGACCCCGGGCCACAGCTCTCTGAGGAGGACGGCTCTGGACAGGTTCGCCTTGATCTCCGCCAACAGCTCCGTGGCCTCGAGCTCCAACCGGTCGGTATAAGGCAGCATGCTGTTATACACGATCACCTTCTGGGAGATGAACCCTTCCATATCTCCATCCATATCCATGTCCCAAAATAGTCCGGTTACCTTTCCGCCTTGTGCGTAAAAACCCGGTTCCTCTTGTATCTAACGGGTGTTTTGCTTTCCACACTGCCGAGGTTAGACGGCATAATAATCCTCTGTGTCCAGGCGGAAGAAGGCCGATCACAGGGGAAAGTGTGTCACGCTAATTGAGCTGTGTAAAGCCCTGAGCGCGCGCGCATTGCCGGTTTAACCTGCAATGTCAGAGCGCTGCGTCACCTCTCAGTTCACACCTCACAGGTAACCACAGGGGGTCGCTGGGTTCGTGCACTCGAACACAAATGCCCACAGGTCGCTCGAGAGGGAGCATGAATCTTTGGCAAGGCTTTGATTTCAGCACCACCGAGGCCATTAAGAGAAGACTTTGATATCTTAAGGCTTTCATGTGTGGAGGAAACCTGGGGGGCATCATTCCGGACTACAGATCCCAGAAGGCTGTGTGTTGCAAACTAACCTCTAGAATAATGGAGTGATCTGATAAGTGGATTAATGCCTTTCTCCTGTTCTACTGACCCACAGTGGATGTTTCTGGGACAAACAAAGGGTGTCTGTCTTTATTGAATCAGCATCCATCTCTATGGGGAAATTGTTTGAAATTAAACGTTAACACATGTTGTTGTTTGTATATGCCTTTTAAAAGTATTTATTTCTGTACAACATTCTAATAAACAAATCCCTCGCAAATCCCTCGCAAATCCCGCTGATGAGATCCATGCCACGCTTTGTCCCGACCCTCTCCATTCTTGAATTGCTGTTCACCTTTCCATGAAAATCCTTTTACTTTAAGCCAGTGTAATTCTCTGAATTCAACATGCTTAAGAGTTGTGAGGCCATTGCAGGACATTGAATGGCCTGGCTGTGGCAGTAAGGTTGCTACTTACACTGGAAGGCTAAAAGCATAATTCAAATGCCCTTGAGATCTTGTCACCTTTGGAGAATAGGGGTAACATCTGTAAAAAAAATGCTTGATTGCACAACAACAACAACAACAACAACAACAACAACAACAACTCATGATAGCACTGCATTCTTAAGTCAGTTTCGCCTTTCTCAGATTGCAAGTGAGCTTCCCTCTTTGATAAAGTTTCCTCTCTTTAAGCACAGGGGGAAACTGACAGAGCCTCAGACTTCGAGAGAGATGCCAGAACAGAATTTGTCTACCATGCAGCATATCAGCCCAAGAATGTCATGCTGGACTCTGCCAGGCAATCTCGCCCAAGTCCTAACCTTTTTTTATATCCCTCAGATCTCATTACTTTTGGGCTTTTCTGCTTCTCAGCACAGTGACAGCACCTGCTTTCCCTGTCTTCACCGTTGAAAGGCTTCCAGCAGGAAACATGGTGTCTGCTCCTATTTGTTCATCGTTCGTGATGTTTCTAGGTATTTGGATTAAGAGAAGTTGTGTGTTTGTATGGGCACAGGCGCTTGCGTGTGTGCGCATGCATGCATGCACACATCTGTGAGATTCATTATTCCACAAGTGGAATAGAGTCTACAGATGGAAAATATGATTCAGGATGATGATGCCTTTTTGACTCAGCAGGGAGAAGACCAAACAGAGAGAGTGAGAGGGACAGACAGAGAGAGAGAGAAAGAGAGGGGGGGGGGGAAGTGATGGAGGAAAAAGAGAGATAGAGAAAGGAAAGAAAGATGATGGTCGCACTGGGAGTATATGTTTTAGTATTCCATCAGCTTGCTTATCTTACCTCACAATCTGCAGACATCAAGAGGAATCAGTCACAAGAACAAACGCACGCACACACACACACACACACACACACACACACACACCCACACACACACACACACACACACACACACACACACACACACACACACACACACACCCATCCAGCCTCTCATTTTTCACCGGTGATTTATAGTGATGCTTGATTTCTCTCTCCCAAAATATTGGAAAAACTCCGGCAGCCAATAAGTGTCTGTTTGTGTGTGAGTATCAATCTGAGAGTGCATGTCTTCGTGTGTGTCTCAGTTTGGAGAGTGAGGAGTGTAAATGATGGGTCTGGGAAACCTGCATTGAAACGTCAACACACACACACACACACACACACACACACACACACACACACATCCACACAGTTCCTTCCATCCAGCTGGGTTCCTCGCTGGGAGATATGCAGGCCAGTTCATCGCCAGACACACGGGTAATATATGGCTCCCGCTCCTGCCTCACTCACACACACACACACACACACACACACACACACACACACACACACACACAAATACATAACCACATTAGAACTTGCTACAGAACTAAGCGGGCTGTCTGCATGTTCTTCACTCAGATTTCATTCTCTCCAACATCTTCACTTTTTCATTTGGACTACACACTACTGAGGAACCTGTGCTGATAAGCCCGGGTCTGGCAAGAAGGACACAAGGAAATTAGGAGGAAGACGGGGAGACAGACATTCCATCACAGCCCCTGTGGAGCTGCAGCGGGGATGATCCTACCAGCCGTGATTTCTAATCGTGGAGAAAGGCTGAACAGCGAGGAGTACGCAGGTATGCAAGGTTAATTCCCTCTTTATCTTCTTCTACTTCTTCTTATATCTCCTGGGCAGCAGTGCTGCTTGTATTGGGCAGCGGTGTAGCAGTATATATATATTCCATGGTGACCGTATATGTGATTTATGTGAACAGGAATGAATCCACTGAGAGGTTTCCCCTGGCTTTTGATATTCTTCTATGCAGCAGCTGTGTGCGCAGGTACCTCACATAGTACAACATGCATTCAAATATAGACACATACAGTTTACTCACTTGTTTTTATTCCATCATTGACTCAAGTACAAAATCAAGCATAGACCGGACACACTTTTGCCTACTCCACAGGTGTGGGTGGTGCAAAGGTCGACAATGTGTCGTCAGAAGTCTGTCGTCATCCATGTGACGAGCTGGTGGGCTTGCTCACTGAGATCCAAGGCCTGCGTATTGTGACCGGAAACCTGCTGGAAGACCTGGACAGAGTAGTAAGACACACAAATACACATACACACATATGGCTTCTGCATGTTGGCAGTTGTTTGTTGTGTTTAACTCTCTGATGCAACGTTTATTTTGATATGGCATGAGCAATAAAGTTGGATTTTACATGGACATTTTTAGAGAATAAAGTTATTTTAAAGTGAGTTGATTTCCTACTTGTAAAGTACAACTAAAGTTGCAGTAGAATTCATTTTCAGTTTTTGTAATTATATTAAACAAATCAACAAAGTCGCCAAGAACATTGCTTAAGTCTACCAGCACTGCACTTGAAATTGTATTTGACGGTGTTGAGTTTTCTGGGAAATTTGTGTGACAAAACCAACAGGGATTAGCTCTTCTTCCAGTGCAAATAGAGCAAGCAGCCGCGTCATTTTTCTCTGGCAGGAAACACTGTGGTTTGTGGTAAATGTCCTGGTAATTTTCATTTTGGGGGGAAAAAACCTGCAAAAGAATACCATCAGTTTTAAAATGTTGGCTACTAATCAACTCTGCCATTCTAGCCTAATCCCACAGATTTCCTTGTACTAACACAGGAACATATCTTTTAAAAAACTACAGTTCTGGTAATGATTTTAATGTGAGCTATAGGTTTTTGTATTGATTTTATTCTCAGTCAAAAGAAAATGAGGAGATGCGGATATCTTTGGCTGAGCTGATCAAAAGCAGAAAGGGGAACATCAGCAGTAGTAACATCCGCAGCAACGGCAACAGGACCAGCAACAACAACAGCAACAAAAACGGCATCAACAACAACAGGAGCAGTAACAACAGGAGCAGTGGCGGCAGTGATGATGTCAATGATCTTGACAGAGACGGGGGGGTCTGGTGTATGCAGGATGGACGCGTGTACGAGCAGGGGGAGGATTGGGAGGTTGACAGCTGCACCTCCTGTGCTTGTCAGGTCAGTGTCGAACACATGTCTTCTATGTCTACAATCTATAAAATATGAGCAGAGATTTTTCCTTGGAAAGTGCTGAGATATTCTCTTTGATAAAGTGAAATATGGCCAGTATGATTGCATCATTGGATGACACCCTTTAATCAATCTATCATAATCTATGGGGAAAGGTCTTGTTTATGTGTCATATAAAGAGGATATTGTGCATTAACTTAAGAACTGAGGCACATTTCTGAGACGTGATTCTAAAGACTTGAATAAGACGTTGTTACAAAAAGCTGGGACTTGAAAGCCAGTGTCAATCTTCTACTTTGATTCATAACATCCTGAAACAAAACAACAATCCTACAGCTCTGATACAAATGAGAAAAATTGATACCATTCTCATACAGGAGTGGTATCAATCTTTTTATCTAACTCTTGGCAAGAAAGCCCATGAACATATTTTCCAAAAGTCCTTTTAAATTGACTAACCAGTTGGAGGGAGACTTACTATAAGTCTCACTTGTACACAATGTGGTTTTATTTATTTCCAGAGCTGCCTTTGTTATTCTCTTATTCTTGCTTCATCTTCCTCTCTGAATCTGTTTCTCTTTATCAACATCATTCATTTTGTCAAGGATGGATTGAGGGAGACAACCAATTTATTATGAGTCATGATGGCATACCATTCCTCTGCAAGGACTGGCATTAAGCTAAACATCTGGCTCGAGCTAACACTATGAGACTGATAATATATTTGATAACGCTGAATTATGGGTGTATCTTTCATGCCTTGTAGGATGGAAAGGTGGCGTGTCAGCAGGTGTTTTGCCCTTCTTTATCCTGCATTAATCCAACCTTTATCGATGGAGAGTGCTGTCCTGTCTGTCTCAGTGAGTTTGGTTTGTGTTCAACTATGATTTAGGATGGAATATGTTTGTTAAAGAAACACTTAACCCACAAAATGACCACTTGATCATCAATTACTCACTCATTGTTAGCTTGAATTCTTGTAAAAAACATAATATTATTGCATGCCTTAAAGTTGGATGGAGCATAAAAAAACAGCAAAGCAAAACTATATCATAACATTCAAACCAATATAAAAAATATGGTTTAAGCGATGCATGTGTAGCACTGGTTAAATAAAACTTGGATTATACAGCCCAAGTATTACAAAACAATGTGTAAACAGATATTCTTTATATAGTTTTGCTTTTGTCAAATCACTCATTTACTTAAATTCCTTAAGGCGTGTGAGAAAAGTCTTCAAGAGTTCAAGGTAACATCAGTTGAGTAGTTGATATACAAATGAACATTTTGTGGGAGAAATATTCCTTTTAGCATCATAACATTTGATAACAGTGTGTGTATGGTGTGTGTGTGTGTGTGTGTGTGTGTGTGTGTGTGCGTGTGTGTGTGTGTGTGTGTGTGTGTGTGTGTGTGTGTGTGTGTGTGTGTGTGTGTGTGTGTGTGTGTGCATGTGTGTGTGTGTGTGTGTGTGTGTGTGTGTGTATGTAAAGATGATAAAAATGGCTGGTCCCTGTGGTCTGAGTGGACCCACTGTTCAGTGACCTGTGGACGTGGGGGGCAGCAGAGGGGCCGGTCCTGTAACGGCATCATGCCTTCCTGTGCCGGCCCGTCAGTCCAGACCCGCAGCTGCATGCCCGTGAAGTGTGACCGCAAGGGTAGGTCATCACTCTGCATGCCTGATTCGTCACATGTCTGCATTTCATTTATTTTTCTGTGATTGTTTGGCCGGTCATAAGGAAAGAATTCCACCAAAGAGCAAAAACGTATGGAACCTTCACATAAATTAATGTTTAGAGATTCTAATCATAATTGAAAACATGTTGTTTGTGTTAATGCAATACACACTGTGGGACTGTGGTGGGGGTCTGGGTTGAATTCTAGTCAGAGACTCATCCAAGCTACTGTTAAAAAAAACAAATGTGTTGCAATCGTGATGTGCTTGTTTCATGTCTAGCGCGGCCTGACGGGAACTGGAGCCTTTGGTCTCCGTGGTCTGCGTGTACAACCACGTGTGGAGAAGGCAGCATCACACGGGTTCGTCTCTGCAACCAGCCTCCACCACAGAAGGGAGGCAAAGGGTGCACAGGCAGCCCCATAGATACAAAACCTTGCAACAATACACGTTGCCCCAGTGAGTACACACCGGCACATACAGAATACACTGAAGTACTGGGAATGCCTTACAGGTGAATGATTTGTTTGTGTTTAGTTGCTGGAGGCTGGACAAGCTGGAATGAATGGTCGCTGTGCTCAGGGTCCTGTGGTGGAGGTCTTATGAGCCGCCAGCGGGAGTGTTTGAACCCTGCCCCTCAGCACGGGGGGAAGCCTTGTGCTGGAGACGCTGTGGACTATGAAGCATGTAACAAACAACCCTGTCCAATAGGTAAACTATAACCCTGTCCACATACCTCAGGCGAGAGGGAAATCTTAAAAAGATTATTATGTTATAGGCAGGCTAAGCCTCACATCCATGGAGAGGCATAGGATGATAGGAAGACTTCATGTCCCGATTATCCTACATTTGTGATTCGCGTTATTATCCTACCAGAAATCACAAAATATACTTGAACTCTTTAAATGGCAGACAAACATTGACACTGGACTCGACTTTTGTCTGAAAGAGACACAACGTGCAGAGGAAGGGCAGCGTTACCCCTGGGACTGCGGTCAAGCCAGCCTCCACTTCGGAAAACACAGTCAAGCCAGCCTGCCGCAGTTCCCTGGGACTGATAATAATCAGTCATCAGTCCCAAATTAGTTTAGGGGAACAGAGACGAGGCATTTGAGTCCTGCTGGGTTTCCCCCGTTAATATCAGTGTCTCGAAAACACATGTTGGCGACTGAAAGACATCCAGTGTTTGGTCTTTTCCAGAAGCATCCTACAGTGTCTCAACTGAAAGAGGACCACAAACACACAACAAATATAATACCATTTTGAGATTTGGGGATATTTATCTCCCATTCTTTCACTTTTTCTGACATTTTCAACACCAAACATGTCGTTAATGTCTCTGTTTAGTGAACTACACAGCAATCTGAAAGCTTGTACATTATTTATATCACACTGCAAAAACATGCAGGAAATGACTTTTTTAATGCAGTATTTTCTGATTTATGGTGCAACACAAAGATATATTGCTCTGTGCAAACCTTTGACTAATATGTCAACAACATGAAACAAGAATATGAACCTGGCTTTATCCAATGTTCACACAAGAGTTCTGGCTTTCCTACATCCTTACACATCCATCATACACTGTCTCAACTGAAAGAGGACCAGAAACACATAAAAAATATAATAAAATGTGGAGACTTTGGGATATTTATCTCCCATTCTTTTACTTTTGGACATTTTACAGACCAAACATGTCGTTGATGTCACTGCCAAACTACCACTCTTTCAGAAAAATGCATACAATTATGCAATATATGTTAAATACATGGTTTATACATGTAATTACTGGGGTTCTATTTCTTCTGATTACCTAGTTTGGGCGTGCACATTTGCCACGTGCAAACCTACCTCTTTTGGATTTGGAAAGGTTGGCATGTATGCTGATAGGACACAACCTTTTTTTAGTAAACATCCTTTTTAGTGAAAAACAAACAAACAATCTCAATCTCACCTAGCCACACGGAGACGGTAACGAAAACGAACCGAATTCGATATCAAAAAAGTCTTCCGTCCACACGCAATCGGCACCAGAAACGTGTCCGTCTACACGAGACCGCTCGACCCGCTGGAGACGCTGTAGTACATATGCTGGGCCTGTAAGTGGCGCTGTACTTCTGCCACAAAATACACCAAAAGCAGCGAAGAACACTTCACGTTTATTCTCCGCGGTGGATTTAGCAGCAGAGGTGGGGAGAGAGGCAGGGGCCAGGGCTCTGGCTCTTTTTCTCCCTCCCCGAGTCAAGCGTGTGCTCCTGCTGTACATCTCCCCGGTAGTCCACCAGCAGATGAAAAACACCCACCTCTCCTCCTCTTCCAAGGGACGAGGGAACCGTGCGGCAGAGTTTCCGTTATACATTTTTTTCGCCGGTCAACATGTCCCTTAAAGTTTAAATCTTCCGGACAAAATTATAAAATTGCCGGTCAAAGGTCTTCTTTGTTATTTATTGAGCTTTAAAACAAATGAATAACGACTCTATATAATAATATAAGAATAATATACGGAGTCTCTCTTTTCCTCCCCCTCTCCTGACAGCCCGTCAGTATTTTCGTTATCAGGAAATGATCGTATAGGGCGTAATCACAGAGCCGTTTGGACCCCCAGAGCGTTGCCTCCGCAGATCTACCCACCTTGGGACCCGTTATCGTTATCTGCGTTTCCCTGTCGGCCTCGTGTGGCCGAATCGTATATGATAGAGAACTGTAGCGGATACGACCCGTTTCGTCTCCGTGTGGCTAGGGCATCAATCTAAAATGAATAAATAGCAACAATGTGTGAAGCTGTTCTTTCTACATTAAATTCCTGTATTCCGACCCTGTCCTATCCCTATCTATGCATAAACCATAATCCTTTTTTATTGGATGAAGCATACCTTCAAGCAATAGAAGATCAGAAAATAATATCTAACAATGTTTATACAGCCTTTACTCAATTAGTGAGGCTCAGGATGGAACAGCTAGTAAGAATTTCCTCAGAATAATTTAGTTAAAATGTGCACAATCTTTGGATATTTTCGATGTGACTGTGTGAATTACTAACTGCCTTTTAAATGCACATTTGTATGTATTTTTAGATACTTGTTTGCGTTCAAATCCATGTTTTCCTGGAGTGAAGTGCACATCCCACAGCGATGGATCATGGGAGTGTGGAAGTTGTCCGTTGGGTTTACATGGCAATGGCTCTCACTGTGAAGATGAGAACGAGGTAATTACCAAAGATCTGTGATCATTTAAAATCCTAACTTCTCTTCCCTAGTTTGACATCATTTACCACAAGGCTGGACCTAATCTATATTTGAGATGACAGTATTTTTGCTTGAAACTATTTGTTGATTGACTACTGTAATTGATCAATTGTTGCGGCTCTAATCTAAGATATGAACTCTTATAATGGATCATGCAGATTGTGAAAGTTATACCTCGGGCCTATAAATTAATGCAGAGTGAGAATAAATGTTGTGTAGTCTGCTCTGCTACACATCAACTGTCAAACCTTTGTATTTACTGTTGTGGTTGATATTCTGAACATGGATAATCCCTCTATCTCTGCAGTGTGAAGTGGAAAGTGTGTGTGTCACAGAGTGTGTAAACACAGATCCCGGCTTCCACTGTCTACCTTGTCCTCCTCGCTACAAAGGCACCCAGCCGTTCGGCCTCGGACTGCAGGAAGCCCTGAAAACCAGGCAGGCACGTGCTTTCCTCTCTGAATAATTCCATGAAGTGCTTTGCTACATGACAAATCATTTTATGTTTGCTTTTGTTGTAGGTGTGTGAGCCATATAATCCATGCAAAGACAACACACACACCTGCCACAAGTATGCAGAGTGTGTGTACCTGGGCTTGGCATCTGAGGTTTTGTTTAAGTGTGTGTGCGCTGTGGGATTTGCTGGCGACGGCCTTCTGTGTGGTGAAGACTCTGATCTGGATGGCTGGCCAAACAACAGATTACCCTGCAAGCAGAATGCAACCTATCACTGTCAAAAGGTACACGATGAATGAAACAAATGTGATTGGCTGGCTGTATTGTATTGTATTTCACTGAACTGAGCTGTGATTGGCTGCAGGATAATTGCCCCGCGCTACCAAACTCTGGACAGGAAGACCTGGACAAGGACGGACAGGGAGACGCCTGTGATCCTGACGACGACAACGATGACATCATAGATGAGAGGGTTAGACTGTAACTTTTGGGATGCCATGACTAAAAACTGGTATATATTCAAATCCCATGTGTGTGTATGTATAAACTAATATGTGTGTGTGTGTGTTTGGCAAAGGACAACTGCCCGCTGATGTACAACCCTAGGCAGTTTGACTCAGACAGAGATGGAGTCGGGGATCGCTGTGACAACTGTCCGTTTGATATCAACCCGCTGCAGACGGACACTGATGACAATGGAGAGGGAGACGACTGCAGCATTGACATTGATGGAGATGGTAGGAGCTACTCACTAAACCAGGCATGGAACAAGCAGTTACTCAAGCATTTATTCTAGTGTAATTATAGACCTCCATAATTATGCAAGGACAGGTTGCCATATTGCCTAACAATAACCAGACCTATGGCCCAACCACGAAGGGAAACAGGGTAAGGCAACACTACTTGAGGGGAAACAGACTTCTGTACGTTTCACCCTGGCGAGTCATACTACTTCTGGATTACCCATTTTTCTGGTGGCCCCTTATTCTAATATTCCAAATTGCAAAGAAAGTCCCATTGGCCTAAAGACCCATTCGACAGTTATTCTGAAAACAGACAGCAATTGCCCAATGTTGTCTGACCTTCCCTTTTTATTTTCCTACAATAGTGAAGGCATGACTTTCTCATAATCAGGAGTGTGAAGGTCTGATGACTTCATCCATTATGCATAATAATAAGCCATGTGCTTCTGATGATTACATAGAAAAATGGGCCTTATGGGCAATGATCATTTGTTAACTTTTGTTTTCTGATGTAACTTCGTATTTTGAGCCTGTGTGTCCTTGGATATGGAGAGAATTACTTGATTCTCTCTGTAAAAGGAAAATAAATTCTGTGGTAATGAGCACTAGGACTCGGACCAGAATCAATACTGTAATTTAAAAAAGTAGATTTAGTGTTAGGTTCCTCTTTAAATATGGATTACATTACATGTATCCAAAACATAGACTCCTGATTTATGTATGTATATTTGCTTTTGTATGTGTAAACGAGTTAAAGTCATGCAATTCATCTGCTCTCTGTGTGTGTCTCTCCTGTTCTCCAGAGGTTCTGAATGACCGTGACAACTGTCCTTTAGTCTACAACACAGACCAGAGGGACACAGACCTGGACGGTGTGGGGGACCAGTGTGACAACTGTCCCCTTCTCCACAACCCAATGCAGGTCACTAAAGGACACATGCTTCTACTGAAAAATGATATTCTTTCATATTGATGGTGGTCACGTTACCTCACAGAACATCTGGTATGAAAGACAATCTCAATAGTTATTAGTGGCAATCAATCATGTGGATGGAGGATTTATTTTATTACATGAAAAGGAAATCTTGGAAATATGTTCTAGTAGAGGTAAAACTCAGCACTGGGACTTTTTAAATTGAAACATTCCTCTGTGTTTGCAGCTGGACTCTGACAGTGACCTGGTGGGGGACATGTGCGACGACAACGAGGACATCGATGAGGACGGCCTTCAAAACTCTCTGGATAACTGTCCCTACATTCCCAATAGCAACCAGGCTGACCATGATAATGATGGGAAGGGCGACGTCTGTGACCATGACGACGACAATGATGGCATCCCAGATGACCGGGACAACTGCAGACTAGTGTCTAACAGGGACCAGCTGGACTCTGACGGTCGGTGTTGCTATGGTTGTTCAACATTTTAGGCAGGAGTTCTTATAAAAAGCACCTGCAAAGACTTTTTTAGATTAATTGTTTGGTGTATAAAATGTCAGAAAACAGGAGAAAGTGTTACTCATTCTCAAAGTCCAATGTTGCCTTTTTTTCATATTTTAGTTGTTGATAACACCACTTCCTGCCATTTTTGCAAGAAATATTAACTGGATATCATATTGATTATAATTATATTTGGCTTTTATTTTTGCTTTTGACAAACTTATTTGTAAGTATACTTGAGGAATCGTTGAGGAATATCTCTAGTATCATAATACAGATGTGAACAAATGCTATATCATTTGCTGTCACATGGGAAAGATATTTGAGGGATTGATGTTAAATAGATTTCGCAGTCTTGCAGTAAAATCTTCTGACTATCGGTCCCGTTTGTATCCAGTGATCCGGTTCATGTTAATGTTGGACAAAACCATAAACGGATTATGGCTCACGGCTGTATGATAAATCATAAATAAATTAGCCTTTAATCTATCCACCATCATACAAGACATTTCACTATTTGCACATTGTTTCTTTCCCATCATTTTATTTTATTTTACTACGTCTTGGCAAAAATTAATCCAGGAAATCACGTTGTTTCATTCTCTGTCTTTCCTCCTCTCCTGCAGGTGATAGGAGTGGAGATGCTTGCTTCGATGACTTTGACAATGACAGTATTCCAGATGCTCTGGATCCATGTCCGCTGAACCAGGATATTGGCTCTATAGACTTCAGGAAGTTTCAGGTTGTTCTATTGGACCCTAAAGGCACCACGCAGTCGGAGCCTCTCTGGGTTATCCGCAGCCAAGGCACAGAGCTGCTGCAGATGGCTAACTCAGACCCTGGCATCGCTTTAGGTTAGAATAACTATAAATAGAGAACACTTTACCTGTAAAAGAAATACATTATTAACAATAATATCCCTTTGTTTAAACAGGATATGACAAGTTTAGCGCGGTGGACTTCAGTGTGACGTTTTATGTGAATACCAACCGAGATGACGACTATGCAGGCGTTGTGTTCTCCTACCAGTCCAGTAAACGCTTCTATGTTGTCATGTGGAAACAGGTGAGGTTTGATTTCATCCAATAACATTGATGATAACTTTTGCGTCACTCACGGTAGTAGATATGTTACCTAAATTGCCATTTTAACTTTTAATTTCAGGTGTGAATCCAAAGGTTTATCTATCTTGAAATCATTTTAAAAATAAACTTGACCACACCCTCCCTATAAGTCTGTTATATGTCATAAAATAAGTTTTTCAAAGTCAACCTAACCTGCACTGTCTTTTATCCTCCAGGTCCTTTCTTCCTTTCATTTAAGAAAAAAAATAAAAAAAATTAGCTTTGGTATATGTGGTGCATACAAAGAAACATAAAGAAAAATACGTAGCAAAAGATTTATAGAAAATACTGATTTAACGCACAAAACAAGAAAAAACAGAGCACACCCCAACACCGAGGCAGCCATCCGCAGTGCCATCTTAGTTATCATCTACAAAGGGTGACCAAATGTTTAAAAAGAGCTCATATATCCCTTTAAGACAGCATGTCATCTCTCAGTGCAACATTTGTTGGAAAGTCTTTGATCCAATGGTGCAGGTTGCATTTTTGAGCAATTAAAGGAGCTTCTAATAAGGATTATAGTGTGACGTCGGAAAATGCAATTCCTTTCTTTCTGTGTGAGAGCAGGTGTCTCAGGCGTACTGGGAGAAAAAGCCATTCAAAGCTTTTGGCACAGCGGGAGTCTCCATCAAAGTGGTCAACTCCACCACAGGACCAGGGGAGTACCTACGCAACGCCCTGTGGCACACCGGAAACACCAGACAACAGGCAAGACACTTTATATGTCCCGTATTTCTTTATATTCTGCTTGTCATGTATCACAATAAATATCTTATTTGAGTAGATAAACCTGACCTGAAACAACCTTGAACACTGGCTCTTTCTCCGGCTGTGTGTTTCAGGTCAGAACTCTGTGGCATGATCCCAATAAAATTGGCTGGAAAGACTACACAGCCTACCGAATGCACCTTATCCACAGACCCAAGACTGGATTCATCAGGTACATAGACTGACAATATGTATTACATATTTTGTTTAACACTGGTTGATTCAACCTTTTTTAAAACAAGATTCCTAAATTAAAGGAGCCTCCAGAAACCCCCCAGACTCGTTTCCCATTATGTATTATAGGGAAAGATATTCTCTGGAAATGACAGCAGTTAAATCTATTTTCATAGGCAAGGATAGTCACAAGTAGATGTGTTGAGTTTAGGCATTTGCCTTTTGGCTTCATGTCCTATTTGAGTTTATATGTTTATGTTTCACTGTCAAAAACCACAGCTAGATTACTTTGAAAGATTTGTGGATTTCCTTAAGCAACAGCTTCCAAAGTACTTCCACATTTGCAGTAAACTTTACATTTAATATTTACAGTTAAAGCATTCTTTATTATTGGTTTGGCTTTTAAGGACCAGACCAGTGCCAAGTCACCTCTTCCAAGTCTAGAAGTGCCTTGATCTTGTGTTTTATCTGATATACAACAGACTGGTTAGTTTGCACTTTGGATGTTTGTTTTCATCTTTCAACTTGAACCCTTTAACTGTGTGTTTTCCGTTCATAAAACTGTTGATTGTAACATTGTGGTCGCTTCAAACTACTGTCACAGTAACTACATCCACTTATTTTATACAGTCGATGCTTAAAGCCCAATTCCTAAGCATCAAATGTTCAAAGTCATTTTTAGGCATGCAGAAAAACTAACAACTCTTTTAAAATAAATGTGATTTGTATTTAATGGGATAAAACATGTCAAAAACACTGGTGTGTTTATTTTCATCCCACATTTGGGGCTTATTTTGTTCCAGTTAAGTTCATGAAGGTTTTAGTTTGGCAGCAAACTTCTTACATTTGTGGCATCACATTCAGTGCCACCTTTTCAGAAGAAAAAAAAACCACCCACAGATGTGCTCACACTTGAGGACATCATCAATCTCTGAGAGTTATTTCATGATAACGGAGTAATTTACTTTCTTTGCTGTACCCGGTTCTCCTAAACCTGCCACATCTACTTCTACTTAGTTGTACTCCACACTAATGAACCTACAAAAAACACAGCAGGCAATGAGTTCTCCGTGCTTTGTGCTGTTTAAGTGCAGATGGAAAGAAGAATATCAGTGCTTAACAGTCACAGGGTTTTTAGAAGAAAGACTTTGAGAGGAAAAGGCGAACAGCTGTAAAGTAAAAAGCAGTTTTTCAAATGATAAAAATACTTGAGTTAAAGATGGCTATCTTAGAAGTTTCAAGCGATGGCTATGTTGTATCTTTGTAACTTAATGATTATAGAGGGAATGTGCGACTGAAAAGAAGCTGCAGCTCTTTGATTGTGAAGGACAGATACACATTGATGAAAAGAACAGTTGCTACAAAAGCTCTGATGTAACTGCTTCAAAAATAGCTCAATTTGACGTCATGTCTTACGTACTGTTTGGGAACAAATAGTCAAATGAGGAATGAAATACCAAAATGTGCCAAGTTACTTTCCACTCAACATGTAAACTCATGATTAATGCTGTGTGTGATGATGCTTTGTTGTGTTGCAGGGTGGTGGTGTACGAGGGCAGGGAGATTTTATCCGACTCGGGGGCGGTGTATGACCACACCCTGGCTGGAGGCAGACTGGGACTGTTTGTCTTCTCTCAGGAACGTGTCCTCTTCTCAGACCTCAGATATGAGTGCAGAGGTAAGAGACCCTATCATAACATTTGTCTTGACCACTGATCAGGGATGGAAGAAGTACTCTGATCCCTATCTAAAAGGGATAGTCTTGATGTTGAGAAAGGCATTTGCATGAGGTACTTAAATGTATTCATAGTCAGGCACATCTCCAGGTTAGAGAAACTGGAGGAGTATCAGTACAGCAGCAAAGCTTGGTACTGCTGTGGATGGTGCAACTTTAAAACGTATTATAGCTACCAAAAAAAAGACCCATTGGGAAAAGCCACAAGTGAAAGTCGGCATTCAAAAGCAGATTAGCAGCAGCATGTACTACAGTATAACTTAAATATTTGCTTCATGTGTTAAATATTGGACAATTTTACCTCTTTGGGCCTCAAATGTTTTTTAAATACAACCATTCAAGCACATTTAAGAAGATCTCATTTCGTATCAGTAATGAAAATATAAACTTTATTGTAAGACATCACAAGCCAAGAAAGTTGCAGACCTATATGTAAACTCTGTGAATCAAGTTTTAATCTGTAGCAACTGCCTGTTTTTGAGTAAAAAGTACAATATTTCCATCTGCATTGTGTAATAAAAGTACACAATTAAATACTTGAGTACCATACAATGTGCCTCTGTCCTCCAGCATTTGTTTAAATACGGTCTCTGGTATCTATTACCTGTTTTTCTTTGTTTCCTCCTCAGATAACTGAGTTCTTTTGGTGGAATATTCAGGAAACTCTTCAACAACCCACAAGATATCCACATTAATTGCCGAAAATCTTACTACAATTGAGAGAGGGCAAGAGGGAGAGTTATAAAGAGGGAGCCCCAGGTCACTCATTCATAGTCCAGATAAAGACACAAGATTATCAATTGGTGACCTTCATCTATTCATCAGCTTTTTGTGCACTAGTATTGACTCCAGGCTGTCTTATTTGCTGTACATAACTGTACGACTCAGACAGCATCTCTTGCTTTTCATTTGATTTTTGCTTATGGTTGTACATACTTATTTATTGCCAGATGTCGGATAAAAGGGAGAGATTGGAGGATAAATTGATGATACATTAAGTAGAGAAGCACTATCCAAATGTCTGGTAGTAACTTATCAATAAAACACTTTTTTTCCAATTGTTTCTACTTCTATTTTTATCTGATGACGCCAGTAGCTTTACACATATCGGAACCACGGTCTCCAGCACCCTCTGGTGGAGACAGTCATAATTACAAATGATGAGTGGGAAAAAGTCAGAGAAGTTATTTCAGGTTGGTACAGTAGGTAGTTGGTATTAGGTAGTAATAATGCCTTATGATATACTCCATTAAAATTAAAAGGCATGTATTAAAAAAGTGAATAATAAAAAATACAGAAGTATTATCAACACATTATTAAGGTATTCATTAAAGTACTCAGGTGAGTATTTCTTTTTACCACCTATTGACTTTTTTTTTTTAAATCATTCGATTAATGATTAGACTTCTAACACTGCTAATCTATTTTTAACTTACATTCATTTGATATAATATTGTAATAGTATTTATTTCAAATTGTATTCTCTTTTATTCTATATTACTTTGTGTTTACAGTTGTGTTTTATTATTATTCTATTTTATAATTACTTAACTTTTGCAACACTTGCTTTATTCTAGCTATTTATCTTATCAGTTTAAGGAATGCACAAATACAGCAAACACATTCCTTGTATGCGTTGGATAGTTGATTCTAAACATCCTTGAACTGAACACACTGACAATCTTTCAGGGGAATATGTAGCTAGCATACCTTTAAAATGATTCATCCTTTCATTCCATTGTTCATATTTTGTGTTGTCTCGCCAGCTTTATTTAGATGTATCTTACGTCAATGCCATTGTGTGGTGTATAGGTTAGCCCTAAAAATACAAAAGATATAACAGTAGTTAACCTGTGTCTCTGAAGATACCCTTGAGCCCTGGGGGGAAATACATCCTTTGTAATGACTCGAAACACTAGACCTGTTGAACCGGTTGGAGAAAGGAGTGCAGGAAGACAGAAAAAAAAACATGCACACCTGATGCGATGAATAAGTGACGTCACCAACGCTTCAGTGAGGTGAAGAATGAGGAAGACGAGGTCATCCACCGGGTAGAGAGAGGATACAAGTGAAGAAACAGGCTTGAAGTCTAGTTAATTGAAACTACATTTATTGATAAATCAAAGTTTAATAAGGGATGGTGGTCAGCTGGAACCGCGGCTGGTGCGCTCGCTTTATGGATCGGCACCAGTCCGCGCTGAATTTTGCGCTTCTGGTTGTCGGTTACATCCTTTACCTCCTAATCGGCGCCGGGATCTTCTCCGCCATCGAGCTGCCCTACGAGCAGGAGCTCCGCCGGGAGCTCCGAGAGGCCCAGCAGGACTTCCTGAGCAACAACCCCTGTGTGTCCGAGGCGCGCCTGGAGGAGCTGCTGGCCCGCGCGCTGGAGGCCAGTAACTATGGGGTGTCCGTGCTGGGAAACGACACCAACCGAAACTGGGACTTTGTTTCCTCCCTGTTCTTCACCAGCACCGTGCTGACCACTACAGGTGAGCCCCGGGCACAGGTATAACACCTGAATGAGCCCATGCCTGTCCTTAGGTAGAAAAGTCAGGCTTTATGAACCTTTTCTCTGTTGTAACCTGCTGTGGAGTGTAACTCATAGCCTATACACAAGTACATTTACCCCCACAGCTCAGTCTTGCTTCTTCTTTTTTCTTAGACCTTCTTTATAGGACCCACTTCTTACACACTGCATTTTGAAATCCAATATTGTTTTTATACCATACTGACAACATTGGTTACATGTTACTTAACAGATGCAGATTCTATCAAAATACTGTATAATCAACTAGTAAATTATGATGTTTTGTTATTGATAAGCTACCTTGCAGAACATAGCTGAATACTTCCTCAAACCAGTTGAGACTAATGGCTCAATACACAGCGAGGCATATACAAATATAGTCAGGGGTAATATTTTTAATTAATGGTTGAAAATTGATTAATAAAAATACTTTTGTCCCTGTAGTGGATAAAGAACTTCCTTAATAATTTGTTTCATTCCTTGCAATCAAAAAAGGTGTTTTAATTAGAGGCCCATAGTTTCGTATAAAAAAACAATAACTTACATATAAAGCTGTTAGTTAATGGTCATAAACCTTTATTACATGTTGACTTCCAGAGTGGCACTAATATGTCACTGTAAATCATTGTGAATAGCTTGCAACAAAAAAGGTTATTTGAAAGTCATCACCCTGACACCAGGGGAGCGTGCAGGTTAATATAAACTGTATACTGTATGTAGTTTTCTATTTGATGTCCAAAAGCAGAAACAGCTTTAGAGATGTTATAAGGACATCATTATCGGCTTTTATTAGAATGGTTTCCCCTGACTCTCCATAATGAATAGACTGTCTTTCTCTCTGCCTTTCCTTCTCTCTAATTATTGTTATGTGTGTTGAGCTAAGTAGCTCTTTGAGAAGAATCCCACCTGTAATTTAACAACCTGTAATAAAGTCTTCGCTGCATGTTTTGATGTGTTTTCAGGTTATGGCCACTCGGTACCTCTCTCAGATGAAGGGAAGGCCTTCTGTATCTTCTACTCCATCTTTGGCATACCTGTTACCCTCTTCTTCCTCACTGTTGTGGTTCAGAGGATCATGGCCGTGGTGACTCGACGTCCCGTGTCTTATTTCCACCGTCGATGGGCCATGTCTAAATCAAAGCTAGCCGCCATACATGCTACCTGCCTTGCCCTCATCATTGCCCTGGTCTTCCTCATCATCCCTGCATGGATCTTTGTCAGCCTGGAGAGCGACTGGGACTTTCTGGAGTCTCTGTATTTCTGTTTCATCTCTCTGACAACCATTGGCCTTGGGGATTATGTCCCAGGGGAGACCCATAGTAAAGAGGCCATACCACACCCAACTCTCTACAGGCTGGCCATTACAAGTGAGTAGACTGACTGATGTACTCCCATTACTGTCAGGTGGAAATCTCTCCGACAATGGAAAATTAAAGCCATTCACCCATTGATTTAGATACGATTTCTATAGCTTGAGACGCCATTCAACCAAGAGTTATTTGAAAAAAAAGATTTGTTGGCTTTTTAAATACCAGGACTGTGGAAAAAACAGGTATTTCACAGATAATATGCACAATGCTATACAGTATTCCATCTCTTTTGCTTGTGAGAAAATGTGGCGCACTTTTGAAAATGTAGTCCTTAAAGGTGGGGTAGGTAAGTTTGAGAAACCGACTCGAGATACACTTTTTGTTATATTCCATGGAATGCTCTTAACATCCCGATAGCAATGAATCACAAGCAATGAACCAATCATTTTAGCCAGCCAGGCTAAAATAACTGGATGGCTTACCTGCCTGTCAGCCTTCCATCTGTGCACAAACTTATCTCGTGCCCTCATTGGTCATGTGCACGTTCGTGTGTGTTGGAGGAGGGGCTCTGTAAAGAAGTGGCAGATTTTTTCCGGTTGTGTATTTTCAAATTCTAGCGCACTTGAGCTGGTTTCTCCAAAATTACCTACCCCACCTTTAACTAAAGAAAAATACAATCTTTATAATTGTACAGGTAGCATTCAACAGTTGTGTTGCTGTCATTGCAAAAGCTTTTGAAACAAATTGAGTTCAGCAATGTGTCTGAGTGACTTATCTCTGATTAAACAGGATAATTATAAAGGTCCAGAGAAGTGCATTTTCACAGCATGCAGCAATACTAGCATATAGCTGGGAATGGAGCTAAAAGCTAACATCAGCATGCTAACCTGCTCACAATGACAGTGTTAATATATTGATGTTTATCAGGTATTGCTTACCATTAGCCTGTGTATCTACTTTAGACATTTCAGAATTTTAAAGTTTGATAATAAGCACTTAACGCAAAGAATAGATGAGGTTAATGGTAACATGCCAATGACTAATTTGGTCATAAACTAAAGTATTGGACTGGTTGAAATCTTGACCTTATGATGGTGCTAGACTAAATTATGAGGGATCACCAACATGTCATTGAAAATTGATTTCCTACAGGTTAGGCCTCCAAGTTCAACATGTTTTTCAGAATGTACCCTTTAGCTTTTCTGATGGACATGGTTAAACAAAGCAACTGTTGCACTAGCTATTACACCATTTATGTATCGACCAAACCTTGATTTGATCGCATTAGTCACTGGTCTTTGTTTCATCACACTCCCTGTTTGTTTGCTCCAGTCTACTTGCTGCTAGGCTTGGTGTTCGTCCTGGTGGTGCTGGAGACGTGTTGCGAGCTTCCCCAGATGAAACGCCTCAGTCATAGGTTCTACCAAGAGAAAGTGAAGGAGCTGGACTCCGAGACTACCAACATTATCAACAGCGACCAGCTGAGCGAAACCTCAGATCACGTGACGAATCACCTACCAGTCATCCCGTCTGTGTCAGAACAGGCTGCCTCCCTACAGCGGGACAACAAGTCAGCACCTTACTCTGCAATATCAGTATCCCCTACTGTGGATAATAAACTGAGATGACAGTCTGGGGAACAATATACTGTATATAAGGGAATGGGCTATATACTTGTGTTCTATTTATGACTGCTCATGACATACCAGCTTTGACCTCTAAATGTGTTAGGAGCCTGATCACACTTGTGTTTAAATCTACATGTAAGCTGGGTCGCTTAATCACTTAAAGTGGCCTCCTGCCATTGCCAATATCAACAGACATTTGTGGCGTGAAAGCAGGAACCACCCACAGAATCAGGATGCCATTGTTTTCTTATTCTCCCCTGTAGCTCCATTCCCTGCAGATAAGAGCTAGATCTGTGACACAGAGGAAGGGCTAGGCTCTCAAACGGAGGGAAACCCCACATGGTTCCACTTCCTGCCAATGTCTTGATGCCTTAATTCCAAAGTGGCACAATTTCCTCTATAGGATTTCACGCCAGCTTTTAGCATTTTATACAGTCGATGATGGTATTTGCATATTAAATGTGCCTTGTTGGATGTATTCAAGCAGCACCAAGGGAGTCAGGCGCACCATCAGTTGGCCTACTGTGCATTATGCGCACATATTACATGATCATTGATATGAATTGGGTCAAAAATGATGTCAATGTAACACAATAGACTTCAAAAACACTGCACACTGCAGACCCCATAATGACCATACAGTTGATTTAACACTGTTTCACCAAAAACGGAGTATTGTAACCATTTGAATGAAGGGAAGATTATTAAGCACTGTTATTTTATTAGTTTCAGCTAGATGTATCTTATGATCTGGCAACTGAATGTAAATTATTGAGGGTACAACACTGCAATGTGAGGACATTGCCACTAGAGGGCAGCCCTTTCATTCTAAACACAAAATATTTGTTCAATATTTATTGTCACTGGGAATTAACCTCATGCTGCCCAGCAGCCCAGAGGAGAGTTTCATGAAAAATGTTATTATGCAAGAATGTGTCATTGTTACAACTGAAGGAGAGGGAGCATGCTGTATTTTATTATCCAGTGCACTTGCTACTTTGCAAAACAGCTCTCAAAAAGATATACCATGTCTTCCAAAAATCATATTTCTCCTGTTTTCACTATCAGATGCTTGTTTGTGGGTTTTATTTGTAGGCATTCATTTGTAATGGTAGTTTTTTTATAAAAAAATCAAATTAGCTTTCTGGATAGAGTATAAATAAATCATGCTAAATTAACATTTTGTAATTGATTATATATTTGTTTACAAATTACAAGTTATTCAAACATTTTATATAAATTTGGGATATTTTATTTATACAGTATCATATTCACATCATATTTCAAGACACATGCAGACTGATGGGTTCACAAACACTCGCACGCCCCTTCAAATTCAACATACACACTCACACCCAAACACAGAAACTGTCCTTCAACCAGAGAACCAAAACGCACTATTTATAAAGTGTACAGAAAGTATTTGTCCTTCTGAAATGTACTTGAATCCACATGAGCTGCAGGACTGTTGACGTGCAGCAGGGGTTGACCTTTGACCTCCCCGGGGAAGCAGGAAAGTGTAGAGTTGACTATCCTTTTCCCAAACTCAAAAGCCCTCTAGACATTCCCTCTCTCACCGTCCCTCGTGTTTATACAATCTGTGGTTGTTTGGAGCAGCGGGGCCAGAGAGGACGCAGGCTGACGATGAAGAGGATGAATACAAGCACTGCCATGACGGAAACTATTGAGACGTAACCCGCGTGGGGCAGAGGGGGGGTGTCAGGCGCCTCTGCTGGAATCATATTTGTCAGATTCAACATGTAGCCCAGCGTCCATCCTGCATCGCTGCCTTTTATCTGGACACAACACAGGAAGAGAGGAAACTGTCACTGATGTAACACAGGCCAGGACAGCTTGGAAACATTCTTACTGTGAAAGTGAACATTTAGATAGAGATGTTTCTTTATTTTCCAATTCACTCTCTGGGAAATGAAAGAGCAAGTGAATTATAAACCCAACCCATACCCTAAACCAGGGATGTCCAAACTACGGCCAGGGGCCAACTGCGGCCCCTGGTCCATTTTGAATTGGCAAATTCTAGAAGTACAATTGAATACGACCCACACATGAAACTTGTGCTTGTCTTATATTGTTCTTTTGAATATATTACAGTATCCATGTGTTAATAAGCTCAATTTTCTAATAAGTTCAGTCAATAAAATAAAAATAAAAAAACATTTTCTAACAAATCTTAGTTGATAGAAAAATCCCAATAACTTATTTGCAAAAAAAGCTTGAAATATACCTAGTATTTCGCCTTTTTTTAAACTTAAAGGTGGGGTAGGTACGTTTGAGAAACCGGCTCGAGGTACACTTTTTGTTATATTCCATGGAATGCTCTTAACATCCCGATAGCAATGAATAGGGTGCATTGACACCAGCGCATTCACACCAGCCTTTTATAGTCCGGTTGAATCGAACCCTGGTGCGTTTAGCCGCTTGGTGCGGTTCATTTGGGTCGGTGTGAACACAGTCCGAGACCTCTTAAGTGAACTAAACAACCGGACTCTGGTCCGCTAAAATAGGTGGTCTCGGAACGCTTGCTTGCGAACTCTGGAGCGGTTCACAATTGCTGGTGTGAACGCAGTCCGCACCAAAACATAGGAAGCGTAGTATTTACGTGTCACAAGACGCGAAGGAGTCTTTCAAGACATCCGCGGTTGTTTAGTTAAAAAGTGAAGCAGAATTAAGTGTTGAACAGTGTCGTGTAAAGTAAAAATGATCCGTCAACTAGGCCTACATAAAATTAAGAACACCTGTCGTCGGTGAAACGCCCCTCCTTACTTCTTCTTCTTCTCTCGTTTTTGGCGGATTGCAAACAACTTAAAAGGTGCATACCGCCACCTACTGTACATGAGTATGAATCATCATATCATTCCAACTATTTAACCTATGATCTAATCAAAATAAATCAAAAATAAATAAATAAATCAACAAAAACATGAAATAAATAAAACAAAAATAAAAATCTATGTTCTTTCCTGACCTAATGTTAAATTATTTTTCCTACCCCAGTTTCACTCAAGAAGGTAAACAGTGCCTTTCTGGTAGCTCTTACTCCCTCTCCTTTTGTTCCCAAAACACCAGCCACACTCCATTCCCTCTCTACCTCTAAAACTTTAGCCTTTAGTTTTTCTCTCCCCTCCTTACTGCAGAACGTCTCTCATTATATGTGTTATAATGTTTTTTATAGTCCGTTTGAGTTTAGCCCGTGTGAACGCAAACCGAACCTTCTGAAAAATGAAACATTATGTAACAAACTGTGGTCTGGTGCGCACCAGAGAAGCGGACTATTAGGTGTGAATGCCCTTGCTTTGACAAAAAATCCATACAAAAAGTTCATCTGTGGAAGCCGTAGTACTGTAAAAAGCACGACCAATCATTTTAGCCGGCCCGGCTAAAATAACTGGATGGCCTACCTGCCTGTCAGCCTTCCATCTGTGCACAAACTGCGCGTTCGTGTGTGTTGGAGGAGGGGCTCTGTAAGGAAGTGGCAGATTTTTTCCGGCTGTGTATTTTCAAATTCTAGCGCACTCGAGCTGGTTTCTCCAAAATGACCTACCCCACTTTTAATTTATTTTCAACAATAATAATAGTAGGCCTACTACTAATAATAATATTTGTTGATGTTATTATTACATAACACTTAAAAAGTTACTCTTAAGTGCTCTACAAAAAAGTTAGACCACCACCTGAACAACACTTTTAAAACAGCCTATGAGTTATACAACATCGAGCAAAAGGAGCTACATATGAGAAAAAGTAAACTAGATAAACATTCTAAAAATTTAAATAACTAGGTTTTTTTCAATAGGTTTCATGTCATGTGATTTGTTTTTAAGATGTTATTGCTTTTTCTATTTCATATAAAAAAATGTATGATACTTCAGCAGTTTCTTTATTGAAAAAACAAGTTCTCTCAGCCATTTAAATTCTATAAAAGCTCCCTCAAACAGCAGAGCCTTTTTGCTAAATGTAACTCTATAACCATTTACTATACCAATCAATTCCTGACGGTATTGTGTTCTTCTGAACTGAGGAAGCACCTATCATATGACTTGTTATTGTTTGACGTTGTCTGGTTTCTGTGTTTTGTCTTAGGCTGAGCCAGTGCTTGATTATGGTAAGTTCATTTTTCTTAAGTGAGCAATCCAGTATAATCATTTTATTCATATGTAATGCTATTAAAAGCAATGTTTTAAGTAGGATATGTGCTGAGTGGTCTCCCATGTGGTTAGACGGAGAGTAATGTGGAGGCTGAGGATGTGGGACAGCCAAACTGGAACCTGAATATAACCTAAGCATAAAATAGGAAGTTCCTCATCCAGGGTTCTTACGGTCATTAAAAACCTGGAAAAGTCATGGAAATTCAAAAAGCTAATACTCGGCCCTGGAAAGGTTATGGAAAACAATATTTTTCCCAAAATGTTGGAAAAGTCATGGAAATGTAACTAAAGTTGCATCAAATATAATTTATATTTTATCTAATCGCCGAAATAGTAATACTATAATGATAATAAATACTGTATGGTATAGTAATGAAACGTAAAATGGCATTTAACTGACGAGGTATTTTGCTGGTGAGAGATTTTAGTTGCTTTAGCGTGTAGAAGCTAGTAAGCCTATTTTATTTGTTTTAGATAGGCACAACATGTTTCATATGCAGACCTTATTTTCCTGTTCCATGTTAAAATAAACAATTTCTTTGGTCATGGAAAATTAGGTAAAGGTCATGGAAAAGTCATTGAAAATCATTTGTGAAAAAGTGTATGAACCCTGCTCATCTCAATTAGGTCCTTAGAAAAACAGAAGTACATACAAAAACCAACACAGGGCGTTAATGCTTTGTGGTTTGTGAGACAGGAAAAGAGTGGAGTGTGATCTACTGACCTTTTTAATTAATTTGATGTCGGAGTAGCTCTCTGAGGTGAAGTTGTAACCTTCCGTCAGCAGGGTTAGGATGTACGTGCCAGAGAAACAGTACTCAGCCAGATACTTTAACTTTACGCCTGGATGCTGCTGCGTTATCTGTTAAAGCAGTTAAGCAAATGCATTGATATTATCAATGCACTGTATATGCATGCTGCAGGACATAGATAAGACAGTAAAACAGAGAAATATGACAGGACATTTGTTTTGTGTGTGGAACTGATGCATAAATATGCCCCGACCTGATCCCAATTGGTAGCGCAGTAGCGTTTTAGCTTTTCCTTGACATCTTCCAGTGGGACGGATGTATCAGTCAGATTTAGGAAGTTCATCACAAAGTAGTAAGCTGAGAAAGCCTACAGAGAGAGGGGGAGAGGAGACAAAGTGAACTTGGTGTCCTGGTATCTTCAGCAAATCATTTTATAAACACTTTATCCTCACTGACACAGGACATTATTTCTCTTTGTAAGGAGCCGTAACTATAGAGCAGGCAATTCAACCCCAATGTCTCTTGAAAATATACATTTGGAAGAAAGTAGTTTAAAGGAAAAGTGTCCATACAGTGATGTCTGATGAGTGCTTCTGAGAAATTCAACGTGCCCCACAAAGTAATTCACAAACAGTATTGGTGTGGTGGCAGCAATAAAACCAACACATGACTGATTCTATAATTTAGGGTGCATTTCACATCAACAAAACAGTACAAAGAAAGTGTTCTTTCTCAATAGAACAATCAGTGGTTCAAGTTAGTATATTCCTCAGTGTAACATATCCACTAGTTGCAAAGCTTAAACATTTTTATTTATTTTTTTATTTTAAGGGAAAGGATGTTTTCACTACTCAGTTTGTCAACTATGTTACGGACAAACTTGATGTCATTACAATCATTTGATTAAGTCCTGCACTTCAAGTAAAATCACATTTGAAAGGCTCTTGAGTCTATTCTACCATATATCCAAAGATTTTTTAAAGTTTAAAAAATAATTGTATTAAAGTTTTGTTTTTTCATGTGATATGTTCAGCACTGTCATTAAGTTTAGGGATATTTTGTATTATAAAACTACCATACAGGTCATTTTGATAGTTTTAAGAGATGTCATGTAAAACTCCAACCTGTGTAGATATACATTATACTATAAAGGATATCAGAAGCACTATTTTAGATATTTAAATTTGAAAAAATGAGGTGCAACATAGTTGACAATGAAAGTCAAACATTTGACGCAAATAACATAGTTGACTGGACACATTATTAACCATCAGCACTATGTTCATTTCAAGGCAGAAGTGCAACATTCCATTGATAATGATGTGTAATGACGTCTACATGTCCTACAAATTGTCAACTAGGTTACCTGTCAACTAAGTTACTACAGTTATTACAGTACTGGGTAACTCAGTTGACAGGTAACCTAGTTGACAATTTCCCTATTTTGACCCATCATTTCAATGGTAGGCCTTGCCTGGATGATCACATGTCATTTTCTTGAACAGGTTAACATCACATTTGAACATATAATTGAATTAAAATCATTAAACAATTGTAAACCATAACAATGTACGTAACATTGTTGATGGTCAATTCATATACTCATTGACAATGTGCTATTATACATAACATATTGTAAAAGGTTAGAGGACAATCCGCACAGTGTGTTCAAAATGTCTGCCAAAGAGGAACAAGGCATCATGTGATGCTGGTGACATGGTATTGGGACAAACCATTTTTGAGTTAAAGGAGGGAGTTCTGTTAGTAACATAGTTGACAGAACTTTTGCGGACATTCATATATTAAGATATTTAAATTATTTAAACGATGAAATCAATTAAAAATATGTTATTATTCTTTAGTATTTAGACTTTTGAAATGAATGAATCATTTTTTTTATTTACTTTAATGGTTTTTATTCATTATTTTGAAACCAAGACACCCTCAACTGAAAAACGGACATAGCAAAAACTGACAATTTAAGAACATCATGACACATTTCAAGCTAAATAAAGCATAGGATGCACATAATGTTTGTGTGATATTATAACATGCTTTCCAATAATAGGCAAAATATGATATTTTTGAAGAAAATAGTTAGAATAATTATAATTATCATCAATGGACATCAATGAACATGGAATGTACCCTAAATTGTAGAATCACTCACATATCTGCATAGCTAGATACCACTAGAAATATAGGAGAACATATGTTTTTATTTGATTTGAATAATACTTTACCCCATATGGCCCCTGCAAAAGTGGCTGGAAGACCCCATTGAAAGAGCATCGGCTGTATTTGCAAGATGTAAAGTTGAAGACACTTTTTACGGCTGCCTGGCATTGCAGGAAGTCTCCTCTCCCGACGTGAGTGAAGGTATCAGGAGCATCTTTGGGTTTCCTGTCTGACACACAGGGGCTGTCGTAGAGGACCGAGTAGTTCTTTGTCGCGGTGTAGCCAGGGTGGAAACAAGGATCTAATACTCTTGCTGGACCTGCCTAGGAGAGAGGGCAATATGGAGAAGATGCAAATTACGTTTAACTCAGCAACATTGCACATTTGAGCATATTATGTCTCTTTTAAATCTTGACTGATAAGATAACATTTAATTGAAAGGAAAATCTGAACTTTACTTGAGACAGGTGTGCTTGCGTCATTCTTAGGGCTTGGTCTTTCCCGTAACACAGGAAGCTGTGGGTATACAGGTTGTAGTCATTTCCATAGAGACGGAAAGTCACCGAGTTGCTAGGTGATTCTGAACCGTCATAATTATCAGAAACAAAGCTAATCTGGGTAGAGGCTCCACCGAGGTCAAGGGCGCCTCTAGTTTCCAAACCCTGCAGGAAAGACAACAAAGCATTGAAGTCAGTGTACAGTAAAAGCAAACAGAGCACATGACAAGAGGACACATGCAGGCATACACCTCCAGACCTGTTTCAGGCGTTCATCCAAGTAGTTGACCGTGACCCAGCCGAAAGCCCCCTCCTCCTGGCCGGTGAGGATTCTCGCTCCCTGATAAGAGAAGGGGAACTTCTGCAGGGCGCCCTCCACAGCTTGAAAGACCTTGTCTGACGCCGAGCTATTCTCCATACTTCACACACACACACACAAATTCATTAGACTGATTCACATCCATAATTCAAATCAATACCGCAGCACATAAATAATAAATTGACTGTGTCGTATATATATGGAGTTGACAGTAACATATTCGCTGCTCGGGCAGTAAAGTTCATATGGAGATAAATCACAAAGCAGGCATATGGAAAAGGCTACAGATAGAAGCACTATCAGAGTCAAAGCTAGGGATACACCAGTGTGAGCATGAAAACGAATGCTGTGCTGCTTTTTGTTGGTGCATGCTTTACGGTGGATGTGTTTGCACATGTGTGTCGTACTTTAGCAATCTCATTCCAGCTGTGGCCCCCAGATAAAGAGGGGTCTGGTGGTGTCTTTTTCCGGGCACCCGCTGCTTGGCCTCCTCCATGCATAATCTCAGAGACTCTCCCGCCTTTTCTGGAGCAGACGCATAGCTGGAGATACCTGGACCTGCAAAGAAAACTAAATGTCAAGAGAAGAGTAAACAGCTTTGAGTTTAGAGATGCTAACCTGCTTTAGAACTGAATGTCATCTGTACAAACCCATAAATTGGCAAGGAATTTGCTATCGGGGGAAAAAAGCTGAATAGTTTATCAAGGTGTCAGCTTCCTGTAAGCACACTTCATGTATGCAAGTATTTAATTTAGTATTCTTCTTTTCTCTACCCCTCTTAATACCTTATCTTTGCCATTCATTCTAGACAATTTAACAATTCAAACGGTTGAATAGACATTTTTTATTTGTTTAATATGTTCAGTAAAACAGCTAGGCTCTAAAGTGTAAGCAAATCTTACTCATGTGTGTCCTTTTATCTACAGGAATCCACTGTCTAGCAGCTATGAAAATGTTCTTGGCTTTTATAACCAAGTCAAATTACCGGTACATACAGTAGGAGGTCAGCTTTGATAAAAGGTAGAAGTTACATTTACAGCAGAGGAGGTAACAGTAGGAGTCAGTTTGACAGAGCGTTCTATTTTACGGTGTATATAAAAGTGCTTTAATAATTAACGTAGTTTTGGTTGCATAAGAATGTTGCCTTGAGACTGAGGCACTTTGGACACAATTGGATTTTACTGCAGGTTTGTGGGCAAAATGTAAATTGACTTTACACATTTATGCATACAACACAGGCATGGTACTGTATGTACCACTTTCCTAATTATGTTGTTACTAACGACATTATTTATGAATAATAAATCATTTGGTGTGGAGCACTCACTTATTCACTCCTTTGCAGAGAGTTGGATGGAAAGATCGATACCATCATATGATATCACTTTATAGTCGGCAAGTGATGGGTTTCTCTTACCTGACTCTTTTAACAGTAAACCTTTCATTTTAAATGTAAGCCATAACAGGCTAAACACTTTCTGGCTCTAGTTCATCCTTATCAATGCTTTTTGTTGCCACGGTGTAAACATTTATTTAGCTGTATATCTACCTTCAATTATTCTGTGTTGCCTTGTCATCAATCATCTGACCCAAATAGCAATAGCTATCTGCAAATATGTTTATTATGACTTTATTTATTGATTAACAACAGACTTGACCTTTGGGATTTTTATTCAGCTACCATATTATCATATCGATTAAATCATAAATGAAAGGTTATTCCAATACAGTAAACCCTATGGTGCGGGGTTGTAAATGTTTTGTTTTTTATACATTCTGGCCGTAAATGGCCTTTTAAAGCGTTTTTTATCGGAGTCAGATAGCTGGATCAGCGATAAAAGTGCTCTGTGATGGCTCTTCCATTGTTTCCCTATGGAGGGAGCAGTGCTGAACACAAGTGGTACCCACACTGCGCTGTGCTCAAATCTCAAATTATTTAAACTTTGACCTCTGCTGACATTTGAAGCGCGACCAATGAGATAGTTCCGCTGCATGAGAGTAAATACCATATGGGAGAGACCATGGCAACCGTGCAGCAGCTAGGTGTATAGCAGAAGCTTAACAGAAGCTCAAGAAGAAACATCTAAGTAAAGTGTCTATCGTGGATGCTCTTGATAAAATGCTAAGACAAAAGCTCTATGTGCGGCCAAGCCCAGCGTGGGAAAGTCCCCACAGACACCAAAGCTACTGTATACTGTGAGATACAGAGAGCCAGCGATTTAGCCACCATTGTTTAACTTGTTTGACAAGCAGGTCAAAGTACTGCAATGACTTAACATAAAACCAATTGGCATGCATAGTGGCCGCACTCGTGATTTTGACGGCAACATTTGTGCATGACCACTGTGTGCAGCATGTTCTGTACCTTTGACCTTGCAGGAATGTGTCTGTTCAACTCTTCCCGTGTTGTTATCCTTCTCAGCTGGCCACTCGTAGATATACAGAGCAGTGTGGGAGGAGCCGGCGTCCAGCACGATCCCATACTTGAGTGGAGACACAAGGAGGAATGCATGTTCAGTGCTCAGTGACTTTCATCCTGACATGCAGTTTAAACATTAAGCCCACTGACAAACTAGTTGCCAAAACTACATGTATATCAGCAATATATTTAGCTTTACTATGTTGTAAAACAGAACCCTTAACACGTTAATGAGCAACAGATGTGGTACTCTTAGTTGGCCTGCATCTGTGCCCAAAAGTAGAGGTGTTTTAAAATTCTTTTCAACATCCTCTGGCCTTATTTGGTAGTGTATTTCTAGAAACACTAGTAAAGGTTGAGGTCACATTGACAACAGACCATATTTGGCATGTGGACTTTGTAAAGAGATCCCTCTGTAATTCAGTGGGCTCACACAGGGAACAGGTTACTGTTACATTTTAACAGATTCCTTTAACCATACCTTGTACTTTTGGGGGAGGGGCTTGTTCTGCAAAACTGCTACTGTCACCAAGGCAACAATCGCTATGACACCAATCACAGTGATGATGATGGTCACAGGCGTGTGCCAGGGGTTCTTCTCTTTCATCTCTGAGAGCGGGGGCGGAGAGACAGACAGACAGACAGACGGACAGGAAGGGGAAGCGAGAGGGTTGCCGGAGAGGAAAAGATGGGGAAACATTAGAAAGAGGAACGGGGGGTTAGCCAATCTTGCATCCAGATGTGAGTGATGTCACAGCATGTTTCTCTGTATGAGAGACGGTCTGACCGGGGGGTTTGCGAAAGTCTTTTATTTGAGTTGTTTTGTTACCCAGGACTACAGATGCATTTTTGTTTTGGTATGCTTGAAGTCATGCCAAGATGTACTTTCATTCAGCTGCAGCAAGTTTGAAATGGTCGTATGCCAAAGTGTGCAGCTATTGCTGAAAGATCAACAAGATTTCCTGTTTGGAAAAAGTTTCAAAGGAAACCCCTTTATTGTGGAATAGTGTTTATACAAAACAGGAGAACAATTGGCGACAATCAAAAAATGATGACCTGTTATGATTAAACAACACATCAGCAATGAGACACTGTTAGCAAGCAATAATTAATAGTATCAACCTCCTTATATTATAGTTATTATTTTAGTATATTTGATCGCTGTGTCTGCTTATACTTTCTTTTGTTTCCCTTCTTTCCTAAGCACTCATTGGGTTTCCAGTATTTACTAAAAGGATTTTGAACACACATACACCCAGATGGTATTGTAGTTTATATGTGCTTAAACACTATATATCCACAGTTTATAAAGGAGGAAAAAAGGGTGTAACTGACTGTCCATATTTGCAAGGCTATTTGAAATGCTTGAGTGAGATACCTAAGGTAAGTTAAATGGCAGACAATATCTAGATCCACATCACAGCTGGCAAAGTGATCTGGCTGAGGTACTGTACACATTTCCTAAGGACATAGAACAGACACACACACACACACACACTAGTATTTCTGCCGCACTACATCAGCAGGACTCGCAGCAGTGATAATAAACCTGAACTTTGTCCACAGCGCACACAAAGACTAAAACTAAGAGCATGTTAGAGAGCACAGCTAAAGAGTGAACTTACCTCTGTTGTCTACTTCAATGAACTTAACACTGACAGGGGAGCGGGAGAAGCGGAGAGAGAGAGAGAGAGAGGGAGAGAGAAAGAGGGAGAGAGAGTGGGGGAGGGATGAGAGAATAAAGAGAGTGGAAGTGGAAAGGAGACGGGAGAATGGACCGAGGGAGGTAGCAGAGTGATAAGAGAAAGAGAGAAGAGGTTTTTCCGTCATGACCGGACAGACGGTTATAATAGAGTCGTGTGTGTGTGTGTGTTTGTGTGTGTGTCTTTCTGGTGGAGCGGCCTTTAAGCACGGAGTTTGGCATTTCCTCCCAAAGCCGGGGCACTAACGCAGATCACTATGGAGACGGAGCTAAGTGTGTTTGTGCGTGTGTCAGCGCGCTCTTGTGTGCATGTGAACCCCTTAAAAGGGACTCTCTCTCTCTGTTACCCTCCCTCTCTTTCTGTGAACTTGTGAGAGTGACTTGCCTCAACTCGACTCTCTCTCTCTGTTCATTCTGTGGGATGTGTACGAGGGAGGGGAAGTGGGGACTCCCTTGTTTAGCTGTTTTTATTACTGGCAGGCTGTGATGTCATCTCTGTGACGGATTGGAATCCCCTTCTTTTGTCTGAGGCTGTGTGTGTGTCTGCGAGTGTGTGTGTTGGAAGAATAGGGTTTGTCGGTGGGCTGATGTGTGTGTGAGCGTGTGTTTGTGCAGACCCTAAAACATGACTTGCCTGCAAATGTGTAGACCCATTCATAGATCCATTTTGTTATTTGCTTCCCCTGCTGCTCACATGCAGAAGATACGCACATCCAATCACGAGAATTACTGTCAACTTTTTTTTAAATATCTCTTATCTTTTGCCAACTTTCCTCTACTGGAGATCTGAATGATTAAAGCCTCCAACATTATGGAAACACACACACGCAGCGAAGTATTCTGTAATTGTTTGACGATGTCACTGAGCAAACAACCAAAGTTCACAGTGATGTTACACTCCTTTGAAACATTATCCAGGGGCTGTCTGAACCAGACACATTCTGGCTATTTATCGAGTCACTGTGTGTTCTGTACTCAACCATCTATTTTTATGAAAAGGGAAATTCTAAAGTTAACACAAAATAAGAGACGTAAACAGCTTCTATACTTTAGTAGACACAATTGAACCATGAAAGGCTCATGAAGTGTTGATACTGGAGTGGAAATCCAACCACTAACTGTGTCTGGATGAGCTGCATCATGCAATGCCAGCATGTGGTTCTGTGGAATTATCATATTCATCAAACCTTTCCTCGAAAGCAATGCAGCTGCAGTGAAGCAAGAATGAAACCACATGTGATTTCCACACATCTTTACTTGTTTTACAGTGTCTTCACATGCCTTGATTATATACTGTGTCTCCATTACTACAGAAGATTGTCTCGCACAGCTAGAATGTATGAGAACAGCTGCGATATGTCTGCTGGTGAAGTAAACAACCACCATTGATATTAATTGACAACTACATTAATGACAGCTGGCACCAATTGCATAACCCCTGCTTTATTATAGAAGTCTGTGAGTGAAACGGTTTAAAGTAGAGCTGTAAAGGTCGCCATGAATTAACTGAACCTCACCTTCCTTTCAGTTATCGTCAAGTTCAAGACGTGTTGAACAAGAAAGGAAACATTTCGTATCCAGGCAAATTCCTTAACCTGTTAAGCCCGAGAGACCCCGGTACCGGGGCACTGCCGCAACAACTTGCAGGAAACAGTGTCTGAGGGCATGTTCATTTAATAAACTATGAATGTTTTATATCCATGTAACGGGAAGAAACTCATCTAACTGATCTTTTTTTTTTTTTTTTTAAAACAAAACCCACAATGCTAACACTGAGCCTCTGAATTAGCAACGAGCGAAAAATGCTAACAGATTACTGCACCGAAAATCACTCACAAAACCTTATTATTTATCTCTTCTCCACGTCCATGACATCTTTTCACATTGTGAGGTGACACAGAATCGATGGGTACCCTCATTATCACTGAATTATACGAATTTGCGACGTTATAAAGAAAAACAGACATCAAAACAGGTGACGCGAGGTAGCTAAAAATGCTAACATTTTTACCTTGGCTCTGTAGTCTCTCCAAAGTGGTCTTCAATGGCATTAAAACGATAAAAACGCTGCTGAAGTTAATCCATAGGTTAATCTAATGTGTCTGTGTCCCTTTGAAATGATTTCTGATAATCCATAAGCATTAAAACTGCTTTTCCGTTTCCAGATGTCAGAGCTAGAGATAGGTCCACTCTGATGCAAAACTGCATGCGCGAAGCCCCCACCTTTTTTTTTCACAATGAGTGTGTGTGGGGGACTCCCCCTTCGATTCTATTGGCTCTAACGGTCAGAAAGAGGTGTCAACCATCAACATCGAGCAAGGGGGGCCAGAGATATGGAAAATCCACCCAAATGACCCCAGAAGTGGTTTATTTTTGCTAAATCTCTCTAAAAAGGTCAAATGTCACTTGTTTTGCATCAATCTTGATACAGGGTACTTATTATATGTTGTACGTTGGATTCCTAAAGCTTTTAGTCTACCTTACCATCATCCAAGGGTAGTTTTCACTATAAGTAAAAAAGAATCTTTGACGGACACTATAATTTACAGTTTTTTACTATGTAAAATCTGAATTTTCTTTAAAATAAAAAACATCTATATTGATTCTGACTTTTCTACATCCAACTCACAGGTTTATCATTACTTTGAGAAAAAAGATTATTAATTTAACCCTTTTAGAAGGGAAGATATGGTCATTTGTTCTGGGAATGTCATTTTCGAGCCTGAGACCTGAAAAACAGGCTCAGGTTTGCATTCAGATTACAGTAGGCAAGGACTGTTTCATCATATGTAACCACTTACGCATGGTGATGTTGTTCGCCAAAACAGGCGCAAACATGTTGTGACAGAAAACAAGGCTTACCTGGGAAGCAAGTGAGATCAGAGGAACTCAACAGTGACACAGACTGTAGGCCACACATACACACAGATATATTTGTTTGTACTTGTGAGAAGTTCTATTGACATTATGCATTCCCTAAGGACCACAATTACATGCCTAACGCAAACCCTTGGCCTTTCCCAAAGCCAGTCTATTCTCATCCCTAAAGGCCCTGACACACCAAATTGAGTTTGGGCGACAGGGCACGCTTCGTCGTCCGACTAACGAAAACGGCCGATTTCGGCCTGGTGTGTCAGGGCCTTAAAACCAAGTGATGTTCAGAAGTGAGGATTAACCAATAAGCCTACACATTCTCTCTCTCACACACACACACATGCAATCTTGCAACAAAATATTTCCATTTCCGACTCTTACTGTATGTCTACACGAATTTAGTATTTAGGTGAGGTGAGGTGATGGTTCGAATTAAGAAATTAAGGAAAACAATAGTGGTGGGAACAGGAGTCAGGAGAAATACAAGCAAAACAAAATATCCTCTGCTATCACTGTGTGTCGGTTTGAGTCATTTTTATAAACTAAAAGTAAATATTTGAGGGAGTTTATTTACCAAACTTAATAAATAAAAGGCATTACTGTGTGCTTCAAATAAATGCTGCTTCTCAAGAAAGCAGGAAGTAAAAAAAAAAATGATGTTTTGGAGGGGAACTTGAGATTTAACATTAACTCCTGTTGCCTGCTGTAATAGTGAGTGTTGTTTAGACGAGCAGGGTTTAGATCGAGCACCCACAAAAACAATGTTCAACAAATGTGACACAGAAAATAACATTCACAGTACAAATGCATTTTTACTGCCTAACACACATTGTCCAGCCTCAAAATGACCGTTGACTACATTTATTCCCCCAATCCCTCAATTTTATATCTATCCTTATTGACTAAATAAAACATACAGACCAAAGCAAATGATCTCATTTTGAAAGAGTCTAAAGTTCAAACTGTTTTTTACAAGTAGAACACACATACATTCTCATACAAAAACAGGTCCTTACACACACACACGCACACAAGATACACAGTTCATAGGTTTGCTCAATGTACCATCCCCACACAACGTAGCAAACAACTAGGAGTTTATATTGGCAATATGCTGAAGCCCTGTTAGGACAGGGCATACAGTATGACAGTATGAGTCTCCACCCGTGTTGATCTAAAACTACAGGCTCATAAATCTCCTGTGATAAAAAAGATACAACAGCAATAGAGAAATAGATATAAAGCTAAAAGGAATTTGTTTGAATCAGCAGATACTGTGACGTTCGGTACTTTACACTCAGCGATGAGTCAAAGGATGATACAGTCTTAGATTGACTGTGTGGTTTTTTAATAAGGGGAAGACGAGACAACGAACGTCCCTGCCAGGCAGGTCTTACATTTGTTGTGCTGCTCTGATAGTTAGAATCTAATAAGTCAAAAGCCTGTGTGTGGTCACATGTACGTGAGCAAAGAGGCGATGCATGTGTTACATGGAGACAGTCACCACAACATGCCTCACACCAGGGATTCAAATCCTTTAATTACGTACAATTAGCATTACCACAGGGAGAAAATACCAATTACAAGGTCCTGCGTTATACTTTCGGTAAACAAGTATGGGCTGTTCTATGAAGGAAATACTGGATGAAAATTAAAAGATAGATCAAGGGAAGAGAGAGAGAAAGAAAAAAGTATAGATGGGACAGCATACAATATTATAGAAGTGATATTAGATGATTAAATTATTAAAGTAATGTAAAGTCAAGTAAAATATCTCAATGCAGAGTAAAGTAAAGAAGTAGTACCTTCATAGTGTACTTAATGTCTATTGAATCAAATCTGCAATTACGCTCTAATGAATACAATATATTGTTTCCAACCATCAAAATAATACATTATAATAATCTGAATTGTAAGCACTTACTGTAAGGAAGTGCTGGCATCTTCGAATGCATTGAATATGCACTTAATTATGTTCTGTCTTAGCTTAACACACAGGCGTATATATACCCACGATACATCATTAAGTGCCCAACATCCTCTACAATTACCACTTGTAGGTAATTGCCTCAAGTTTTTCCAATTAATTAGTAAATGGATCATGTTATTGTCTTCCTTATCTTAACACACAGGCATATATACCCACGATAAAACATTAAGTGCCCAACATCCTCTACAATTATCACACCCATTGTTCCCACACATTGGGAACAGTGGGTGTGGTAATTGTAGGGAATTGCCTCAAGTTTTTCCAATTAATCAGGCAAACGTTTGTGTTTCCTAAGCGTTCAAAGAGACAAGCACACTCAACAGTCTATACATACTCTCAGCCAGGCTGTTGTGAAACAGCGTTGTTTCTCAGTTCCTATAAAAAAGGAACCTATAAAAAAGGAACCTATGGCAGCCTCATATGATTCAAAGTTAGAGGAAGCATCTCTGCCTGTTCGCAACAGGGAAGTGGTCTGTGGTCCTCTCAGCGTGACCTTGCATACAGGACATACTGACTCTGATCCTGCTGGCTGGGGCCCTTCAGCAGAGAGAGAAAATAACCGTTGCCATTTTACTCTAAAGGATCTTTCTGCACACCGCTGGTTAGAGAGAAAATATACCAATGAATTTAAGTGTACAGTATTTTTACAATTGTGACTTGGTGTTTACTTTCATCTAGTACACACTGAACAAAAGCTAGTTTTGCTTTATACAAGACTCAAATTAAAAATAAAGAAATGTTCTCACTTACCACTTTGGTTTTATTTGTCCCAGTTTTTAGATACTAGTCTCACCAATTCTCATTGAGTATTTGATATTTAAGGGTTTGTTTAGAAATGTAAGCTACAAAAACAATTTGAACGGAAAAAAAGATTTTCCGGTTTCGGACATTGCACTGCATCTACATCAATTAGTGGGGGTTCATGGAATTTCATTTGTGGACCTCCTCACTTTGAAACATATTCTGCAGTATCACAGTATCCGGACATGCTTTCTGGATAGATACATTGTTGTTGCCCATTGTTTTAATGCATTGCAGACACACTGTATATCTTAAAACTTAAGTATAACACATAAAAGTTATCTTTATGACATACACTTTTCTTTGCAATTTGTGTGAACTGCCCTTTTAATCTACATGGAGACCCAGATGCCTTATCTTGACAGATTAGGGTTTAGGGTCATTGATAAGGTTTCAACTACTTAACAAAAGCACATTTGAGTATAGTCGAGTATACATTTGCAGGGATGTCCAAACATTCTTGAATGCACTGATACTTAAGTAGCTTAAAACAAACATTTGGGTGCAAAGGATTGTTGGCTCAGAGAACAGAATTATGGCGGTAAATTGTATTTAATTTGTACTTCTCACGGCATTACATTTGTATAGAATGTTTTTTGAATGACATTGACTTGCATTGAAACAAAAACACTAGCACTTCAAATCTGAACTATGTGCATGCCATGAATATAATGTGTTGTAACTTTGGTGAACTAACCCTTTAATCTTCATGAGGGGCCTCGTGTCTTATGTGAAACAAGTTTGAGGTTGTATTAAGTTCCTCAAATGTACCAATACCATGGGAACCTTCAACAAACCATAAGCCCTGCAAAAAATATGTGATCCTCTGCTCTTATTTTTCACATTAGACTTGGCAACAAGTAATAATTGGATCATACGTCAAACATTAATTTACCTTTACCAACCCTCAATTAATCAGATAATGTTTCACAATTACCCTTAATCACATGCACTATGCTGATAAACTACCATAAACCTACATACACAACACACAACTCTGTCAGCGTGCCTCCGTTTATCCTCAACAACACAGCGAATAGACTTTAAACCTCCTGCTGAAGCACACACACACACACACACACACACACACACACACACACACACACACACACACACACACACACACACACACACACACACACACACACACACACACACACACACGGCACCTGCTTATGCCACACTTACAGTGCATGTATGGAAAAGTCACACACCTGCCCCACACTGCTACACAGATGCTACATGCATTAAAGCAAGTCACACAGTTAGAAGAGAACACACTCACCTGATACTCAACATGTACTGTACCCACTTCTGGTACATCCTGATGATGTGAATCTGGGTGATGAGCATTTCCTGTGTGTGTGTGTGTGTGTGTGTGTGTGTGTGTGTGTGTGTGTGTGTGTGTGTGTGTGTGTGTGTGACTGTGTGTGTGTGTGTGTGTGTGTGTGTGTGTGTGTGTGTGTGTGTGTGTGCCAGTCATAGCAGTACACCTACCTCTTTGTGCAGACATGGGTTCTCTCTCAGCAGCAACACAATGCTCTTTCTATTCTTTCCCCCTCTCACTCCTTTCTGTATTCCCCCTCTCTCTCACTCTTCCTCTTTCTCCCTCAGTGTTTCTCTCCAACCCTCTCGTTCTCTCTCTTCCTCTTCCTCTCTGTGGTAACACAGCTCTCTGCTCAGTCTAACGCTTTTCAGCACCTCCTTTCACATACAGTCGCTTTATTAGGAGAAGCTGTGCTTCCCTCCTCCCTCCTACTCAGCCCACTCCCCTCCTTCCCAGGCGCCTTAAGCTTTGCCTTATGTTTCCCCCTTTCTCTTCCTCTCTCTCTCTCTATACCTTTAGCATCCACTTTGCTGATGTCACCCACTCCTGTGTTCCCGCCTTTCCCCAATTTCTGCATCTGTCTTCAACTCTCCTGCTCTACTCCACCGGTGTCTTTTTCATCCTTTTCCTTCTGTCCCTGTTTTTCTTTGTCATTGTCTCTGTCTTGTAAAAGTGGGTCAAACATGAAAGCAGTGTTAGATCTGGATGGTAGCTGGAGCTCAAGCTGGAGGGATATTGGAGAAAAGGCAGCGGGTGAACTCAGTCATAAGCCTATATTTTCGGCACCCTTGTTTTTATAGCTGTAACCTTACTCTGTTGAAAAGGAATTGGTCTGTTATGGCGCAGTTCCACTACAGCGCGGAGCTCGCTTTAAGCGTGCCGTGTCGTGCCGTTCCCGTTTTTGGTTGTGCTTCCACTAGGCCTAGTTCCGGCCCGGCCCGGCCCGGGGCCACTTTTTCACGTCTTTTCTGGCCCGAGAAAATTGTGGTTCTATCGAGGCCAACAAACAGGGCTGAGTCGGGCTGAGTATGCTAAACTAGAGAGAGGAGCGCTGGCAAGGGGGCTAAAACTACAACAAGATGGACATATTTGACCGTGATTTAATGGTAATACACGTTTCAAAATGATGCCGAAGTAACAACATACTGATACCGGTTAGTAAAAACCATGAATTAATGCTTTGTCAAGTCTGCAGACAGACGGCAGGCGAAAAACCTTTTAAAATGCGTGTTTTTCTAGATGGAGATTGGCTAAGCTAACGCAGTATATGCTCCGACCGTCCACACTCACAACAACGGCCTATACAGACATAAATAAAGCAGCGACTGTATTCACCATGACACAGGCAGTCTGTGGTTTGTACTTGTTTAACTTTTGTCGAGTTTCTGAACATATATAAGGAGCTGTGAGCTCTGAGTGCTAACAGCTAACGGCTGTGTTGTGTTTCTGGAGTTCTCATTGAAGATGACGTCACGGCTCCGCCTACACTGCGTTACTATAGTAACTACCCCAGTTCCTAAACTGTAATGGAAGCGCAGCATGAAGTGAGTCGGCCCTGTTAAGGCCAAGCCGTACCGAGCCGTACCGAGCGTGGCCGAGGCCGACGTGTAGTGGAAATGTGCCATTATTGACCCCACAGAAGTCTTTAACCTCAAATACAGAACCTATAAAGTTGACTCTATTATGTAGGATTTCAGTTCACAATGATAAAGAAACCTTGAGTCCAAGGCCATGGCGTTGACAGTTCTACCTGTTTTTTGTGTGTGCGCTTGTCACACACTTTTACCAAGGCTGAAAAACAAAGCTCTCTCTGTTTTTGAGCCTGGTCACAGGGGGAGTCCATTCCCAGACCAGGCTGCACTTACACAACAATAGGCCACCATTCCTTAGCAACAGTGACGTGCAGTCAGTGGAGGCAGGGGAGGCTGAGCCTCACCTGTCATACTCCAATGTAACGGAAAAACAACTAAAGAAAAACGAAATAGTGATAATAATAAAATGTCTCCACTGATCTGTGTTGTAAGTGTGATTTATGTATGATTCTAATCGCTTTTTATAGTCAAAATCAGCAAATTTGCCGAGCTCCGCTACGGGAGCGATGACAAGTGAGGCAGGGGCGTGCTCTGCCTCTCGTAAGCCCACAGTAACTTGCTGGAGCGCGGGCACTAATGCAGCGCGGGCACTTATTTTGTGAGCGCGCTCAAGCCATTTACTGTGGGCTGAGTTGAGGCACAGATGAGATCTGCCTCACCTCAGAATGCGTCACCCCACAGAAACTGGCTGGAAAGCGGGCCCTAAGCGCATGCCTGTTACTATCTCACTGTAGGTCACCAATGTAATGTTTGTAGATCCCTTTATTACATTTATCCTCGCCATCCATAGTCTCTAAATAACTTATTTCACGTATATATGATATTTAGGCTCACTGGTATCAACGGCAATGAAAATGCACCAGGGGAGGCAGCCATAACCTCTGCCGCACTGAAGGGGGCGCACGTGAGCCCACAGGTTCTTGTTGCTACTGTAATTCTACGCAGAGACGGTAGACGTAACAACAAACTAGACTTTTGAAACTACAGGAAGATAAGGAGGACTTTTACAAAAAAGTAATAGAGATTGTTGTCCAGAAGGATAGCATGGACTTCATCTTCAAGTCAAGGTAAGACCACATTTGTAATGAAAATGGGGATTTTGGGTATACTTTTGTTGAACGGTCTGTTTAAAATGAATCGAAGCATCAGACTAAAAAAGCTTTTGAAAATAACCGAATATTTCGATTAAGGTCAAAATATAATATTTGTAAATCTGACTCAGTGCCTCACCAGCCATGAACCTCACCGCACGTCACTGCTTAGCAAGGAGACTTGTATGAGAAAAATGTGCCACCATCAGCAGAAACCACTGACAATATGGGTGTGATCAGTATGCATGCTAATGTGTATAACACAATCAGTACAAGTGGTATATGGGAAATTCTTTGTTTTAATGGCAGGACTGCATACGGAGGTATTATTTTGCATCTCCCAGTATTTTGTGATGTGATAAAAGAAACACACACATTTCCTAACAACAATAATCCTCACTTAATGATTTTCTAAATTACATGCAGAATATTTCCCTCAAGAAAGCCATAGTCAAGAGATGAACTCCCCTGTTTTTGATTTCGCTTCTTTCTCGGACTCTGAAGTCTTACACGGTTTGCACTCAATTGATCCTAAAAGGTCTGCCGGGCCTGACGGCCTAGATCCTTTCTTTTAAAAAATTGCAGCTCAGATTATAGCTCAACCAGTCACTGATATTTTTAATCTCTCCCTGTCCACTGGAAGCAAGCTCTTGTATCGCCCCTCTTGAAAGCTGGTGATCCCACTGAGTTGAATAACTATCGTCCTATCTCAAATCTTTCTGTGTTATCAAAAATTCTTGAGTCCCTAGTTTCTACTCAGCTAAAACTTTTTTTAAATTCACACAACATCCTTAACCCTATGCAATCTGGATTCAGATCAAAGCACAGTACTGTGACTGCCAGTCTGAAAGTCTTAGACGATATTAAGGCCCTAGGGGCACGCCTGGAAACAAATTAAACCGATCCCCACAGTGATAAAGGTAGCACAATTATTATTTTATAATTAGTGAAGCCCCAATGGGACTTCTATCACCTTGAATCTTGCACTTGGGGCTTACCATTTTCCCTTAAAGCCGTGGGCAACATTTCTCTTTTAATCGAGCCACAGGGGAAGAAAAGTGGTGGAATATTTCTGTCCTCTCCTATGATGAGAATCAGGTTATATAAGGTTATATGAGTTATCGGAACAATCGTGTATTTCCTATTGAAATGAACTGTATCGAATATGGGAGTATAAAGTAATGTGTTTACGTTCAATGATAAGACGTGATAGGACATCTGCTGTCCCTGTGTCCTCGCCCAAAGGGTTCAGACCCAGATTCCGTACTGTGTAGCAAAAAAAGGATTAGAATTATATTTTAGGATATGGACTGTTGATATCAGCAATACATCAGTAAAATGTTTTATTGTTATTTAAGTTAATTTCTCAACTCTGACAACAAAGAGATGAAGTGTCACTGAAGAAACAAGGTAAAGCAAACATCAGGAAGGTGCTACACCTTGCAGCAAACTGTCACTTGTGTACAACCTATTTCCAAATGAGGCCCCGCTCACACGGGACCGTTTGCGTTTATGCACAGTATGCGTATTCAAAAAAGTCTTCCGTTCACATGCATTTGTTTCATTTAACGTGTCTGTTCAAACGAGGCCGCTGGAAACGCTGTAGTACATATGCTGGGACTGTAAGTTGCGCTGTAACTTCCGCCAAAATACACCAAAAGCCACGAAGAAGAGCAGCCCGAGCAGCGCGGTGTATTTAGCAACATGTAGTTCATGTAATTCTCCATGTCCACTTGTTGCTGATGGTTGTGGTAGAGGAGCTGTAGATTTTGCACTAATATCTGTAGCATGGTCAGTAGCAGTAGCACTAGCAGTAGCTACTGACAGGAGGAAGTGTGTGGCGATTGCTGGTATTCAGCGGGATATAGTCATTTCCTCAGCATATGGATAAATGCAACGGGGAAGTTAACTGAAAGAAACCGAATCTGTGGATATTGCATCGAGAGGACGGCTCAGAAAGAGAGATATTCTCTACAAACACCGGGTGAGATCGCACCTTTGTCAATATAATGGATCAATGCATGAAATCTGACTCTGTTTATTTTGTTTAAGGAGTATATTGGGCGTTAACAATTCTGGTTTGCCTTTTATAATATTATTTCATTCAAGAACTCCTTGTGCGTTTAATTAACACAGCTATTTTTGATAGTTGCTACAGCAGTGAGCAGGAGAGGTGCTATTTTTTTTTTTTTTTCGCTATTTTTTCAGGAAATATTCGTATAGAGGTGATTACACGGACTCGGTTGACCCCCCAGAGCGTTTCGTTTGCAAATCTATCCACCTTGGGACCCGTTATCGTTTGTGGGGTCAGTTTCTATCGGCCTCGTGTAAATAATAGGGCTATACGCACGCGAAACTATGCAGATACAAGCAGTTTTCTCCTCGTGTAAACGGCGCCTAAGGCTGCTTTGGATACAAAATATGTTTGTGTTGCATTGTTTATTGACTTAGCCAAAGCGCTTATTGATTCGAACCTGCTATTGAACAGTAAGAAAACCAAAGCAATGCTCTTTGCTCCCAAGTCAGCGTCCTCTTGCCTTTTCATTGACACCCTTGATGGCGTCTCCGTTGAGTTTGTCGATACATACAAATATTTGGGCTTTTGGTTGGACAGAAATCTAAACTTTAAACACCATATTGAAGTTCTAACTAAGAAATTGAAATTCACACTTGGCTTCCTTTACAGACTTAAATGTTGTTTTTCAACTTCTATCCCGTAAAAGGTTGGTCTCTGGCTTATTCCTTTCCCAGCTTGACTACGGTGATACAATTTATAGATTTGCCTGTCCCACTGTTTTGGCCAAACTTGACCCACTCTACCATGCTGCACTGCGATATATATCAAATGCACCCATCATTGCAAACTGCATAGCCTAACTGGATGGTCCTCACTTACTATGCGTAGGATGCAGCATTGGTTGTTATTAATGTATAAAGCCATTTTAGGTCTGCTTCCACTGTACATCTGTGCCAGATTTGCTCCAGTTTGTGACTCTTACAACCTCAGATCCAGTGCCTGGATACGGTTCCAGGTACCTGCTGTGCGGACTGAGGCTGGAAAAAGGAGTATTTTTCATTATGCTCCTTGGTCTTGGAATGACCTTCAATCACACCTTAAACTGATGGCACTTGTCCCTATAGCCTGTTTTAAATTGAAGTTGTCTGAGGTCCTTACCACCAGCTGCTCTTGCAGTAATAACTAGTACCTTTCTTACTGTCCCAAATGTGCACAATGTAGTGACTGCTTTTCGTTTTTTTTTGTTTACTTAGTTGTGTTCTCTGTATTGTATATGTTTGTGTTATGTGTAACGTTGCTGCCTTCTTGGCCAGAGGCCTGTACTACGAAGCTGGTTCAACATAACCTGGATATGTTTGAGTTAGCCGGTTGGCGTAATCCAAAACATACGCGCTCTGGCTAAACTGTACTACGACGCTGGTTATCAAGTGGATCGCTCAAGCCAGCCGTGTCCTATCTAGTTAGGTGCGCGTTCACATGAAAGGGGTGGTATTTGGAGCATTCGACCAATCTCAAACACGGACAAGCGTACTGACAGCGCAGCGTCATACTTCCTGAATGAAAAGTGAACTTTAATATTAGTCAAATATGAAGAAGTTAAACTTTAAACATCCATGACTTAAACACTTTATCCAGGATAAAAGCCACATAGCTGCACCTGCAAGGTGAATACAGCTGGTAAAAGAAAAAGTGTTTGAATGCGTACATTAACAGGTTTATGAAATCACTGCCCCGTCCAAGACACGAGTGGATCTGACTTTAATTAGGAGAATTTGACTCGAGTGTTTCGTCAACTTAATGTGTTGCTTAAAATAATACTTCTGCATACAGTATGTGACACTGTGAGTGTTGCACGGCCAGATACGGCTCAAGAAGCTGACTCAAATAAGGAAATATATGATACATTATGATGTGATATGATATGAATGATAATGGGACACATCGACGTCTGCACTCACAGTGCCGCGGACTGTACTTAATGTTACTCTGATCCGGTTACTTATGTCGTAGCAGATATTTAAGTAAGCTTTCTTAACGCTAATATTATAATAGTCAGATTGCTCTGAAGATGGGAGGGGATATTCTATTAATTTTCACGTTCACACAGTCAGTTGATTTTGGCCGGCCGTCTTTCCTGCAACGGCAGTTTTTCTGTATTTCCTCTATCCTGTAATATGAATTGATCGCTTTAAACTCCGCACACGGAGCTCTGATTGGTCAGCAGGCGGTGCTTTCACTGAGTTGATCTCTTAGCCTGCAACCTAACCTCCTCCCGAGGAGGTTAGCCGCTCAGCATAAGTTACCATGGAAATCTAGCCTGCTAAAAAGAGAACCAGCGTCGTAGGACCGGAAAGCCCGAGATTTCCCTGAAGTTAGCCGGCTAAGCGAAAATCCAGCTTCGTAGTACAGGCCTCTGGTCAGCATTGTAAATGAGATTTTATCTCAATGCTTTTTATCTGGTTAAATCAAAAATAAAGATGAAAGAAATGTCCTATCATTCAGCTTGAATCTGGAAACGCTCCATCAGTCTGTCACTAAATATGAAAATCATCATTAGTGTTGGTAAATATCTATCTATCCAGTGGTGTGCACTGTGAGAGGGCAGGGGAGTCACTACCTCTGCTATTCTCTGATTGCCAGAGTCCAAGTACCCCTCTCTAGTCCAAGTCGAGGTACATCTGTACTTAGTCTGAGGTTCTCCTTAATGCTGATCTGATTGGTCAAAATGCCTTCAAGTGAGTCCAAGAGTCTTTCTGGTCTGACTATTGGCCCCCCAGTGTGTAATAGCTACTTTAGAAGTTCAAGTAGCTGTTTAGTGAACATCTGGTCACCAGAGATGGGGTCGTTACTAAAAAAAAGTAATATATTACACTACTTCGTTACTCTCTACATAAAGTAACTCGTTACTTTACTCGTTACTTTACTCGTTACTTTACTCGTTACTTTACTCGTTACTTTACTCGCAGGGCCGGCCCGCCCCTCCCTACAGGCAGATCACGCAGACTGCTAAAGTTTCAAATGTTCTCTTTAGTTCAGTTTCCATTGTCGCATAAGACTGATCCAGATAGCTCTGACCATGGCTGTCCTCTGTCTCCTGCTATCTGTATTTTGCGCAGTATATCTCTGAACGATGCGATGGTGATTCCACTGTGCAAATGGGCAACATTTTCTCTACTATGAAGGATGCTACAAGCCTGTCCATCTCTGCTTTGGTTACCGGTCATTTTTGCTGCTTCGGAGTCGGCGGCGGCGCACTCACAACATCCTCACTCTGGGTTCGGGGGTCCTTAGCTATTAGCTTCACCTTAGCATGTGTTCTTTGCAGGTGTTTGTTGAGGTTTGACGTGGTGTTCACAGCAGTGTATAACAGCTTCTGGCCTGGACACAGTTTGCACCTCACCGTCACATTCCTGTCTATTCTTCGGACGAACTCAAAATAATGGGCATACCTCCACCCCTCGAAAGTTATCGCTGACTCAACCATGTTTATGCAGCACTGCACGTGGAGATGTGGACGCGCAAGTCGCGCAGATTACGTACATAGAAACCTGCGGCGGAAACCCCTCTTGTCTGTCAGTGTGATTATGACTGATTTTATAAAAGTAACGAAGTAACGCGTGTCGGGGCAATGTTAGTAACTGTAGTGTGATTACTGAATTATAAAAGTAACGCGTTACACTACTCCGTTACCGACAAAAGTAATATTATTACAGTAACGCGTTACACCCAACTCTGCTGGTCACTGAAAGGAATAGTGTCAACATTTTGGGAATTGTATTGAATCGCTTATTTTGTTTCTCGTTAAATGAAAAGATATATTTCAACCACATTTTTCTTCAGTAAATATTAAGGCTAAGGCCAGTCTAGGTATTTGATTTTAGCTAAGCATAAATATAAAGATGTTGTGTTAAGTTTTAAAAAAGTTTTTGTGCCATTTTTGAAAAGTCAACAGATTTGTGAGCTTATTTATAATATGGTATTGTTCTAAAAGCTATCGCAGTTATGATGATAGCACTTTGAATAAGTGTTACCATTGAATTGCACCTGCTGCTCAACCATTCATGATCATAACAAAATTATGACTTCATCATTTTTTCATTTCCTAAGAAGTCGAAATCCACACCCTTTCATCCTTAAATAAACTAAAGGTATTACAACTAATATTTGATCAAGGACTAGCGTATACATGTAGACTCCCTTTTAGATTAATGATTTATAAATTGGCTATCCTGCTTCAGAGGAATTGAGCTGGCAATAAACAATTGATGTTTTCTTTTTACATATTTACTCTACGAGACTCACCCTCTTTGTTCAAATGCAAATATTTACCGAGCATCTGACTGCAGTTTAAAGGAGTATTGACATGTCATGTATTTTCTTTACAAATGTTGTTTGAGTAGGCATACATCCTTATACTTACGGCACCT